TGATGGAGGTGAAGAGTCATGGACACCAGCTGGTTGCTCTGGTTTAACATCACTAAAATCACTCAGCCACTGAAAAACTGATTCTTCATCCTCATCTTCATCAGTCCACTTACATTGCCCCCCCCCCCCCCCCCTTGCGCAGACGTCTCTTTGTCTGAGTGAAACCTTCTGACTACTCTCTCATGATTGATGAATCTGTGACAAATCATCTCTTTTATCTCCTCATACTATATTTACATATATTTATACCTCTAAGTTAAGCTACATACTTACAGTATAATTTACATTCATCTCTGTCCACATACTTTTGGTCAATTAATGTAAATTATTATGGTCACTCACAATATTTGTCTCCCTATGATAAACTTTCGTCATGTGTTATGGGTTCATATCCATTATTCAGTGTCCACATATTTATGTATGATATCCTGCACATTGGAAATGTGTCCACATACTTTTGGCCACAATGTACTTAACTCATGTGTCCACTCTCTTACCTGACAGCGGCAGGTGTGACTGGTCCCCCTGTGGTTGTTGGTGCAGCAGCTCCACCTGCTGGTCAAACCACACACAGCTGTGAGGATCAATTCCAAACCTGAGAAATAACACTGTTTTTACACTGATCACTTCCTCCAACAACATCAAACTATGTTTAAAGGAGAGCTCTGAGGCTACCTGGTGGTCAGCTGGTGAACAGCAACGATCCACAGAAATGCAGACAGAGACTGTAACTGAAGGCTGAAGCAGAGCAGTAGAATGAAAGTGACTGACAGGCTTCAACTGTTTTAAATCATGTAAAACAAACAATAATCAATAGATACAAGGTTGATAATCAATAATACATTCCGAAATGCAGTTATAACAAATAATTAATCAGAGTATCTATCAATAATCCTTCTTTATGTCAGTCAACCATCACCATCACCATCATCACCATCATCATCATCATCATCATCATCACCATCATCATCATCACCATCTTCGTCATCTTCATCATCATCATCATCATCAACATATTCATCATCATCATCATCATCATCATCATCATCATCTTCATCATCCTCGTCATCTTGATCATCATCATCACCATCATCATCATCACCATCTTCATCATCATCACCATCATTATCATCACCATCATCACCATCTTCATCATCATCACCACCATCATCATCATCATCATCCTCATTTTCTTCATCAACATCACCATCATTATCACCATCATTATCATCATCACCATCACCATCATCTTCATCATCATCATCATCATCATCATCATCATCATCATCATCATCATCATCTTCATCATCCTCGTCATCTTGATCATCATCATCACCATCATCATCATCATCATCATCATCACCATCTTCATCATCACCATCACCATCATCTCTCTCTGAACTTTTATCAAAGTTTTCAGCCTTGATATAGAAACTAACTTCTTCTGCAGTGAAACAGAAAAAGTAGACACACTCAAAGAACACACAACTACACAACAACCCAACTACACAAAAACACACACAACAGGTTGTGTCTTCATCTGTATAGCCTCTGTTCTTACTAACTGATGTGACCCAACAGTCCAGTTCATCAGCGTTTCTATGGGTTGCTCTAAACACAGGAAGTGATGCGTCACTTACAGAAACTCAAACTGCACTGACAGAGAATCCAAATCCCTGCCCCCAAACGCTTTGATTGACAGGAAGTGCAGAAACAGCTGAGCAATGAGCAACAAGAGAAAATCAAGTGAAATTAGAAATGGATCAGAAAATCACATGTTGCTGCTTCAATATCTCTTGTCTCCTGCAGATCACACAACTCAGCAGATCCTGAACAAACCCAAAGTCCAGCATGTAAGGGCTGAGTGAACGAGGCCTCTGTGGAGGTGGGTCATGGTTTCAGAGACACTGTAGAAGGACAGAACACCTGCCCTGTGATCCAGGTTTACTCCTATCCTACAGGACTGAGGGCCTGAGAGGGAAATGCTGATCCTGTTGTGTCTGAACTCGTTGTTGGGACACCATAATGCCAAAGACTCATTCTTTCCAAATATACTGTCACTTCCTGTTCTTCTGATGCTCTTGTATGCGACAGCCACTGAAACAGTCCCTGTCCACTTCAACTCCCAGTAACATGCTCCAGTCAGACTCTCTGTACTCAGAACCCGAGGATGCCCAGTGAACTGGTCTGGATTGTGAGGAAATGAAGAACCCATATCTGTGACCTTTCTCCTCCCCTTAGATAACAACAGCTTTGAGTTCACTGTGTTTGGATCCAGTGTGATCTGACATGAGTTCTGTAAGAACTCAGCTCTGGTCTTAGGCTCTGCTGGTGGCAGTAAAACATTCACTTTAGTTACAGTCAGTGGGATTTTGGTCCATTTGTCACTAAGAAGGTCCTGTAGTTTATCTCTGAGCTCCTTCTCCTTCCTCCTTCTCCTGCAGCTTTGCTGAGGCCTCGGCCGGCTTGTGTTTTGGGGATTCATAATGAGGATGGAGGTGCAGTTCTTTCTGCACTGAGGACAGTTGCGGACTTCTCCTGATCCTCTTCATCCCAGTGTTGTGCTTGCTGTGTTTAAGAGCAGCTGAGGAAGTTTTCAGGTTTAACTTCATTCCAGGAAGAGGAGCGTCTCAGTGTTTAACCCTTACTAACAATCTGAACTGTCATGTGAATATGATTGACACCGATTAGATGATGATGATCAAGATCCACAGCTGAAACTAAAACTGAAAAGAAGAAGATATTCAGTCGAACAAACTTTTCATGCTCTCAGTCTTCGTCCTCACATCATAATAATAATAATACATTTTATTTGGCAGTGCCTTTCACAGCACCCAAGGACACTTTACAGAAGATTAAAAACACAATAAAAATAATAAAAACAACAGACAGTTAAAAAGAAAACAATAAAATTATAGCGAATATGCAGATTGAAACAGATGAGTTTTGAGTCTTGATTTGAACTGGGGTAAAGAAACAATGTTACGGATGTCTGGTGGGAGAGAGTTCCAGAGTTGGGGAGCAGAGCTTTCAGCCGCTCTGCTCCCCATGGTGCTGGGGCGGGCGGATGGCATAAAGAGGTGAAGGGAGGAGGAAGACCGGAGGGAACGAGAGGGGGTGGTAATGCGGAGGAGATCAGCCAGATAGGGGGGGGCGAGGTTATGGATGGCTTTGAAAGTATAGAGAAGGATTTTGAACGTGATACGGAATTTGACTGGGAGCCAGTCAGTCGGAAACCAGTCAGTCAGTCTGAGAACAGACATGACCAGGACATTTGTCTGATTTATTTCTGCTTACATGATCACAGTAGAGCAGCTGAACAGTCAGTCACGATGTGTCTGCAGCTGAGAAGCTAGCTCTGTATTCAGAGGTGAACAGACTAGTTCAGTTGTGTCCTGGCCATTGGGCAGGCCTCACTGACTGTGTCATATATATAGTACATATGGGACCCTAACCCTGTAACGCTGTACAGATTATGTCACTCAGAAAATACATCAACATAATAAGAAAAGAAATCATCTCTGAAATTTAAAGTTTCTCTTCAAATGATTGTAGATGAATTATATTGATGCAAATCATTTCTGTAAAGCAACTGAATAATAATAATAATTATAGTGAAACTAAATGTAGAGTAGTGAAATGTTACTTGTCTGAACCAAAGATAATAAATCCACCCTGAGTGGCTCAGAATCTTTAGACACTATCAGATCTAACTACAGAACATGTGACTCTATATCTGTCAGTGTTTCCACTGACCTACTGTCTGCTGGTCCAGAGTCAGTTCTGGTCCAGCAGAGTCCAGACTGAAACCAGGAGAAACCAGCAGAGGAGGATTGTGTTTGTGGATCCAGCTGCTGGTTGTCAGGCAGCAAACTAACACTGGAGGAAAACAAGCAAAATCCCCCAAAGAAAACACAGTGTGTCAACTAATGAGGCGCTATTACAGACTGGGGTGGGGGGTGTGGGTGGGGTTAGAGATAGACAGGAGAGAGAGAAAGAAAGAGAGAGAGAGAGAGACAGGCTCAGGTGTTCCCTCTCAGTTCAAGAGAAGAAAGAAAACCACCAGAAGAACTGGCTCTGTTTCTGGACCTGAACTGGACTGAACTGGACTTTAACTGGACTGAACTGGACAGCTGCAGGACAGACGGAGGATGCTGATTGGTTGAGGAGCTGCTGTTACGTTTTTTGTTCTTGTTGGACTTTGATGGACGGGCAGAAAGACAGACTTATCTTGACCTGCTGAGTCGGTGATCACCAACAGCTACAGGTCAGTTGAACCCAGAATGAACTGGGACCAGCTGCTTACATACTGGGTTTACTGGTTTCAGAAGTGGTGGCAGAAGTGTTTGAGTACTGGGATGTAAAAATACTCTGTTACAGTAAAATTCAAAGTTGTGTTTAGGTAAAAAGTTCGACTGATGATTTTGTGAACAGTAAATGTTGCTGCTTCAGGTTCAGCTGTAATGTGTGAATTTCTTCTCTCTCAGTTTGTGGTTATTTCTATTTCTTTTTTCCTTGTGTTTCTGTTTTTTCTTTCTAATCCTTTTTCGGTGCACAACTTTCTAACGATGTTTTCAAAATGTTACATCATTAAAATATTAAATTACATGCAGAAGATTTGTAGTTTTCCCACAGTCAGGAGAACAGGTTCAGGTATGACCAGTGATTTAAGGACCCCTATATAAACCCTAATCTAAACCTTATCTAAACCAAATCTCCATCTTATCTGGAGTGAATGAAAACCCGAAACTAAAACTGGATTAAAGTTAATATAAACCTAAATGAGTGTTTAATTAACCAAAACTATGTTTTATCTGGACTGAATGAAAAATACCGATTCTAAACCTAAGTAAACTTCAGTTGGTTGTTTAATGGTTTGAGTTGTTTGTTTACTGGTTTCAGGTGGTTGTTTACTGGTTTGAGTTGGTCGTTTACTGGTTTCAGTTGGTTGTTTACTGGTTTCAGGTGGTTGTTTGCTGGTTTATGTGGTTCCAGGTGAGATGGGCTGTCTGGGAGGGAAGACGGAGGAAGAACGACTGGATGAAAAAGCGAAGAGAGAAGCGAACAAGAAGATTGAGAGACAGCTGCAGAAAGAAAGACAGGCTTATAAAGCTACACACAGACTGTTACTGCTGGGTGAGACACCTGTCTGTCTGTACACCTGCCTGACTGCACACCTGTCTGTCTGTCTGTACACCTGTCTGTCTAACTGCCTGTCTGTCTGCAGGTGCAGGAGAATCAGGTAAAAGCACCATAGTGAAGCAGATGAGGATTCTTCATGTGGACGGCTTCAACGCTGAGTGAGTCAAACTGACTGACACACAGGTTAGATACCTGGCCCTGTACCTGTGTGACAGGTGAGACAGGTGACGGTCCTGACCCTGATCAGAGTCGGTTTCCTCCTGGTCACAGAGGAAACATCAATATGTGATAAAGTATTCATTCAGAGGTTAAATGTTAAAGAGGATTTAATCTTTAGACAAGTCCTGACCTTTGAATCATGAGACCGTGTTTTCTTGTCGTCTATGAAAATCAAAGTTCAGACGTAGAGTTTTGTCACTGCGTTTGACTGATGTCGTCAAAGTGATGGAGTTCAAACTGTTTTCCAGAGAGAAGCAGCAGAAGATTCAGGACATCAGGAAAAATGTGAAGGACGCCATCGTGGTAGGTCACATGACTGATGGTCACCACTATCAACACCCACAGCAGCCAATCACAGAGATGTGTATATGTGTGTGTGTGTGTGTGTGTGTGTATGTGTTCCAGACCATCGTGTCGGCTATGAGTATGTTGACTCCACCCATTCCTATCGGTAACCCTGGAAACCAGTTCAGAGTCGACTACATCAAGAGCATTGCACCACTGTCTGACTTTGAATACACTGAGGTAACACACACACACGCACGCACACACACACACACACACTCACTCACACACGCACACACACTCACGCACACACACACACACACACACACACACACAGATGCATGCACACACGCACGCACGCACACACACGCACACACACACACACACGCACACCTGTGAGTACACCTGTGTTACAGTGTAGTTGTGCTCAGGCTTGTGTGTATCCTGACTGAGCTGCTGCAGGTGCAGCTCTGTCTCACCTGTTGTCAGTCATTGTCAGTGAGCTGAAATAAAACAGGTGAACTGTTCCTTTAAAGTTGCACCTGGAGAGTTGGTTAAGAGCTTGTTTGTTTTAATGATGTTAATGACATGATGTAACGAGTTAACCTGGGACTGAAACACACACACACACCTACCTGTGTGTGTGTCTCACCTGAGGCCTCATTATCCAGACGTCTCCGGTCTCTGAGGACGATGAAGAGACAAAACAAGCGTCTTTCTGCCTTTTTCTTCTGTTGTCTGATTGGTCAACAGGATGCACACACTTTAAAGTGCTGTCACTGCTGTCCAATCAGATGATGTCACACTGAAGCGTTTACCTGGAGAAACATGTGACCCATGCAGATACAGTGAACACAGCGAGTCTCCAAAGACCAGAATCTACACCCAGGTCTGGAGCTGGTTCAATATGTGTTTGTCCTTGTGAAGTCTGCAGAATGTAGAGGACTAACTGTCTGTCTCTCTGTCTGTCTATCTGTCAGGAGTTCTTTGAACATGCTCAGAAGCTGTGGGAAGATGACGGCGTGAAGGCGTGTTTCGAACGCTCCAATGAATATCAGCTGATCGACTGTGCTCAGTAGTAAGAAAACACACAACAAACAATAAACATCAACACGGAGCAACTACGACATTTATATCCCAGCGGACCAATCACAGCTCAGGGTGGAGGAGGGGGTGGGATGCAGGACTGGGGGTGTTGGCAGCGGCATGTGCTTGGCTGAAAAGGCCTGTGATGTCACATGACCACCTGTGTGTCTGTGTGTTGCAGCTTCCTGGACAGGTTGGACTCAGTTAGGAGGACGGATTACACACCTAATGACCAGGTAACAAACTGGCTGATCAGCTTGCAGCATCCATGATGACTCATCTGTTACCAGGCTGATGGTAAAAACATTTTCTTCTTCTCCTGCAGGATTTGTTGCGTTGCAGAGTTTTGACTTCAGGGATTTTTGAAACCAGGTTCCAAGTGGACAAAGTCAACTTCCAGTGAGTGCCTTAAGCCCCGCCCTCTGTGTCCAACTGCACCGCTCACCTGTCTCTTCTATGTAACTGCTGCTTTTGAAGGTTGAGTCCAAATTAAAAGTTCTTGATTAAAAGAAAAAGTCAAAGGTCACAGTCTGACAATGTTAAACTACAACTCCCAGAGAGCACTGCTGTAAGGACCGCCCAATCAGAGAGCTTCAGGCTGTGTTGTCAGGTGAAATTAGCGGTTGGTCTCTGTAGAACCTGTTGATTAGATCAGGGGTCACCTTCCAGGTAGCACGTGACCCGACTCCTGTCCCTGCAGCTGGGGAGTCAACAGGGTGAGAGTGGAGGGCCAACAGGGTGGGGGCAGACAGGGTGAGGACCCCATGTAATTGATTGGGGCTGTTCCCCTCCCAGGTCTGGCTCTAGAAGGGGCCCCTGGTGTCCCTGGTGCAGGTGAAGTGACACGATTCCAAAAATGGCTGTTCATCAGGTTTAGTCTGGCCCCTCCTCTGGGACCTGGGAGCCTTGGTGACCGTAACCCAGGACAACCTGTCCACACAAACCCCTTCCACCCTCTGGTGCTCTTTGGATCATCACTGCTTCCTGTATCTCTGCCTCTGATTGGCTCTTCTGGTTCATGGTCAGCGGCTGGTTGTTGTTGATCACTGATGAATCCTGGATCAGTTCTGACAGAGTTCAGATGCTGATTGGCTGTGTCTCCACAGGAAACGTGGCCAAGGCTGCTGGGTGTTATAGTATTCAGACCCTGGTTTGTCAGCAGAGAGGGGGCAGGTCTTGACTGTCACTGACTGTCCTTTGTCTGTCAGTATGTTTGATGTAGGAGGACAGAGGGACGAGCGCAGGAAGTGGATCCAGTGCTTCAACGGTGAGAAAACAAACAGACACATTGAAGAAAATGAGAGGAGCTGACCTGAGATCAGTGTGTTTGTCTTCTCTGTTCAGATGTGACGGCCATCATCTTCGTTGCAGCCAGCAGCAGCTACAACATGGTGATCAGAGAGGACAACTCCACCAACCGGCTTCGAGAGTCCCTAGACCTCTTCAGATCCATCTGGACCAACAGGTTCTTCACTTCACCCTCTGTGCTCTGTGATTGGCTGTACTTAACCCCCTCTGTGCTCTCATTGGCTGAGGTTAACCCTCTCTGTGCTCTGATTGGCTGTAGTTAACCCTCTCTGTGCTCTCTGATTGGCTGTTGTTAACCCTCTCTGCGCTCTGATTGGCTGCAGGTTTCTGAAGACCATCTCAGTGATCTTGTTCCTAAACAAACAGGATGTGCTGGCTGACAAGATTCTGGCTGGAAAATCTAAACTGGAGGATTATTTCCCAGAATACAACAACTACCAGGTCCCTGTTGATGGTACGATACAGATACTATATTTACACACGGAGGTGTTGTACTGAAGTACAGTTTGAGGTATTGGTACTAGAGTATTTCCATTTTCTGCTCCTTTATACTTCTGCTTGACAACATTTATTACAGCTGTAGTTACATAAGAAAACGTGATCAAACTGTGATTCTTCTTCTTTCCTCTGTATGAGTTTTGACTGAAGTAAAAGAAGTGATGACCTCTGACCTCTGTGTATAAAAACATTTCGATGTGTTTCCAGCTATTCCAGATGCTGATGAAGACCCCAGAGTGACCCAAGCCAAGTTCTTCATCAGGGACGAGTTTCTGGTAAAAACAAGTTTCCAGTCTTGCTCATGATAATGCAGTAATCATCATCATCATCATGATCACTGCGACATGCTGACACTGACGATTTGACTCTGTTTCTCAGAGGATCAGCACAGCGAGCGGTGATGGGAAACATTACTGTTATCCTCACTTCACCTGCGCCATTGACACCGAGAACATTCGCCGCGTCTTCAACGACTGCCGTGACATCATCCAGCGCATGCACCTGCGGCAGTACGAGCTGCTCTGATTGGCTGCTGAGAGCTCACCTGGCCCCGCTTCTGCTCATGGACAGAGACATGCAGCTAATCCAGAGGCTAATCTGATATCTAATCAATGCTGATAGCTGATCAATACTAATAGATCTGATATATTTATACCTTATATGATCCGTTATATCACAGACTTGTATCACACAGCTGTTATCAGTTCAAATGGGGTGTTATTGATTAATTATCAGGACAGATTGGAAGTATCTGTGCCTTTCTTTTGTTTCTATACCTCTGCCTGACGCAGGGGATTGTGGGTAGTGTATTTTTGATGTTGTTGCAGTCTGGCTGTCATATGAGAGGGGGCAGTATAGAAAACTAGTTTAGACTTGTAGAAAACCTTAAAGATGGAATCTAAATATATTTTTTCATGATTCTGAATTTAGAGTATATTATCATGATCTTCTCCCTGATTGGCTGTTTCAGACTATGATGTGATTTTACATCTCTGTATTTATACCTGGAAGATCGGGTTCAAAAGAACTGTAGATTTATCTCTTTAGAGTTAGCAGCTAGATTTTAAAAACAAGATTTTTAACTTTCCTTCAACATGAAAGTGAACATATTTTCCTTGTTGTTAAAATGTGACATTAAAGAGTTTTTATGTCAAAGTTCTGATTGACTGTTTTTCAGGTGAACATGTTACAACCGAACAACGTCATACATGTTGTAAAAACAGTCTTACACATGTTGTAACAGTCTCACACATATTGTAACAACAGTCTTAAACATGTTGTAACAGTCTCACACATGTTGTAACAACAGTCTTACACATGTTGTAACTCCTGTAGTGCTCAGTTAGAATCTGTGTCAATCAAACTGCTGCTTCACAAAGAAAGAGTGGAAACAGATCAACAACAGTGTGAGGACCAATCATTACATTTGATTATTGATGAGAGGATATTCATCAATAATGCAGGACAGCAACTCACTAAACAGCACAGATGAAGCTGGTTCCTGCCAAAACCAGCAGATGTCAGTGAAGTGCTGTTTCTGCTCAGACTGAAACTCTCCTTCCACACACAGGATTTCAATGGTAGAAAAACTGTCTAACTGTCTTAACCATTAAAAGATTAATTTCTTAATTAAGCAGATTCAGGCATTCAGTCCTGATTTAGAGTCAGTTAATGGGTTATAATAATAATAATAATGAAAATAATGATTAACTAATGGATGAATCTGCACGTCAGTTTTAAAACTGCAGGTAAATTTAATTATTTTTATTTTATGCTGTAAGTAAAAGCATTTTACTCATTTTCACCTTAATGTAAACAAATATGGCGTTTTATATCTGAAGGTCTTAAAAGTCTTAAAAACACTGAATTCAGTTAAGAATGAACATCTGGTCAATATGTGGTTTTTAGACATCCTGCCAGAGGACTGCAGTTGAAAAAAAAAAGCCTGTTGGCTAACACTGGCACATTTACAGAAAGGTTAATTAATGTGCACTGTCCTTTTCAAATAAATAAATAAATAAATTAAATGAAAATGAAATTAAAACGAAATCTGACATTGATCAGGTTCAGTTCACTTTGAAAAAACAAACTCATCATGTTAAAGCTGAAACCAGAGAGAATGACTCAGAACAATTAATTCTCATGTGCGTAATAATGATTAACTGTAATAACTGAAAGGATGGTGTTCGTCAGTTTATTGTCACATCACAGTTAAACGGAGCTCCTTTAAGTTCAGACAGCACTTTAATGTTTGCTTTAAAACCCTGCAGATGATCTGTTGGGGTTTCTTCTTTTTTTTTTTTTTAAGTCCACTATTCCCTCAAGACCTAAATCACTGGAGAACCAGAATCAGGTCTGATGACTATGTTTAACAGTCAGCTATAAATATGGCGGCGGCTTCTCCTCACATTTTATTTCTTTATTGGACAAGAAAACACCATTCAGGTCTGAAAACCAGAATCCTCTACTACGATATAGTTCATGTTCTGCTTCAGAGGACCAGGTTTCTGATTAATCACATTATTGGGGGGCGGGGGGCAGACAGGTGAGAATGTGAACACTCATAGAAGGCAGGGTCACTTGAGGAGGGCGCATGCGTGAGAGGTTTTTCTCCGTCGCGCTCAGAGGATGTTTGGCGCGCTGCCTGCGTGCTCCTGCAGTGTGTGCGTGCTAGCGCAAAGCGCGGCCTTCCGCTCGGTGCTCGTCCTCATCAACAACAACAACAACCACCGGATAAAGTGTTTCCCGGCTCCCGGTGCGCTGACACACCCAGAGAGACACACTCACCCCGGGACTCTGTGACGGTAAGAGCCCGCTCCAACGGCCCCGCGCTCTCCTCGTTCCCCGTTCCGGCTCTGTTTCCGCGGGGATGTCTGCGCGCTCTCGAGCCGTTCATGGCCGCTCGAGCTCCGACTCGTTCGTGTCGCCGAGGCCGCGGCGCCGCCGCTGCTCGCGTGCCTGTGTGTCGGTCCCGGGGACGGCTGAGCACGCGGCCCGCTCCCCGTACGCCCGGTGATGGTGTCGGGTCAGCAGTTTTACCGGAGACTGTCCGTGGCGGAGAGTTACTAGATAAACGCCATTTTGTGTGAGAGCGGAGCCGCAGGCCGGACTGTCCGCCATTTAACACAAACACCGAGTTTCACCACAAACACCAAAACTCCCGTGAAACACCGACGGTATTAAACACCGCCTGTCACTTCCCGGTACACACAAGTCAGCTGCAGCGGGCTCCGGGAGCCCGGTTTATCCGCCGGTAACGTTTAGATTGTTGAACGTTAAACTAGCATGTTAGCTCTATTAAGTTGAAAGCTAATGTTAGCCTCACTGATAAACAGCGGCCGGTACCATCTGAAAACCCCGTTACACAGTCAAATTCCCGCTATCACGCTTTCTGATTTACTGTTCAAACGGTTTGGTTCCGATTTTATGACCGTTAAATTAACGCTAGCTAGGCAGCCGTCGGCGCGTTAGCTTAAGCCGCTTCAGCCCGATTCAAATGAACTGTGGTCTGAGTAGAAACTGGACTCGGTGTCGGTTAACCGTGCGGGTCCAGGTTTAGACCCAGTCTGTGGTGGTTTTCAGATAAAACTCGGTCGGTTCAGGAAAGTAAAGCCATGTGAATAAAATAACGTGTGTGAGCTCGGTGACAACAGCTAGCCTGTCAGTCCGCTCCGTTCAGCTAAAGGCATCGTGAAGCGTGCACACGCTGAGGTGCGCGTGTCCGCGGTATGAGAGGTACATGAACTACTTACTGCAAAAGTGCGGGGGGGGGGGGGGGGGCGTGTTTGTCTGTCTTTACCTCTGAGCAAGGCACTGACACCGCGCTGCTCAGGTGTCAGAGTAAAGATGCATGAAAACATTGATTTTTTTTTAATTTTTCTTCAGGTAAAACGGATGGGGGGCGGCGGTTAAAAAATACAGTTTCCACAGTTTGTCTCAAAACTCAAAACTCAGCTGATTCAGCTGCTGTCAATGAGACAGTCTGACCACATGCGAAATGATACAGCCTCCAGTGTTACCTCACAGCTAACCAACTGACTTCATGCTAATACTGAGTGTCAACTTTATTAGGTCCAATTGTCTCCAACTTGCTGTAACAAATACTCCTGTTTCATAGGTGAGGCCCATGTTGGACTTATACAACAGGTGTTTCTAAGATTTTTTCCAGTCCATGTTTGTCACTGAGGGGGCGTAAACAACTGAAACAAGTCATCAAAGAAACCCTGACTTGTGAAAGACAGGAGGGCAGCATTTGATTTGTTAACAGAACACCTGTCCAGGTGACTGCAGCTTTACACTCATTAACAATGACTAGTTTTAAGTGTTAAGTAAAAACATCCAGAGATCAGTTAAATCATCTTTGGCCCTAACCCGTATATGTTCACGCGTTCACACCAGACACCCCCCCCCCCAGTTAGTGTTGATTTCTGATTTCTTTTCTTGTTAGTAATCAGGTTGTAACTTATATGTAGCTGTTCACTGAAGCAGTAACATGGACTCATCAAACCCAGACTGCAGGTTTTATACCACTGAGCCTGCAATTTAATGTTGTCACCTGATCTGTGTGCAGATGGCGGAGACAGTGAAGTACGTGGACGACGAACACAAAAGCATCTTCCTGAAGCTGCTGAATGAGCAGCGACTGGAGGGCGAACACTGTGACATCGCTGTGGTTGTCGAAGACGTCAAGTTCCGCGCTCACCGCTGTGTGCTTGCCGCCTGCTCCAACTACTTCAAAAAACTGTTCAAGAAACACGAGGTGACTCATGAACTTCATCAATCTGGTGAAAGGTCTGTCCTCCTGGACTCTTTAAATACCTTTTTTTTTAAAACTGTGTGTGTGTGTCAGGTGGACAACTCGTCTGTGATTGAGATCGACTTCATCCGCTCTGATATCTTTGAGGAGGTGTTGAACTACATGTACACTGCAAAGATCTCTGTGAAGAAGAGAGACGTCAACCTCATGATGTCGTCTGGACAGATCCTTGGCATCCGCTTCCTCGACAAGCTCTGCTCACAGGTAACACACACAGGTGACATAATACACAGGTAACACACATTCCCATCAGTCAGCCTCCGACTCAGCAGTTTGCTGATGATGATGGTGAGGAGGAGGAGCAGACCTGATGATGCATTCATGTGTGCTCAGAAACGAGACGTGTCGTCAGAAGATAAAGAGAAGTTTCCCTATGACATCGTGAAGATGGCGCTGCCGCCCGAGGCTCAGCTGGCCGCTGAGTCTGAGGTAAACTAATCAGTACTGATCACTTATCAAACATCTGCCACGTTATCTTGTCATGATGATGGTAACTGTGTTCAGGTGCTGGGTGAACATAACACACCTGCCACAGATGACCTTGTTGAGGCATCAGCCAATCAAGAGCTAGATAAATCTCCCAGTGCAGCACTGCGTGTCCAGGAAGCCATCCTGAAAGAACTGACCAATGAGGATGTACACAAGGTACACACACACACACACACACACACACACACACACACACACACACACACACACACACACACACAGAGTGCCCTGTGTCCTGTCGCCCACAGCAGCTGGAAACCACCCAGTGTGGCGTTAGTGTCCAGAGTTAGCACGATTAGCGTCGTTAACCATGTCTCCAGCGGAATGCTACCTTCCCTTTGATGCTGTGTTAGAGCCATTAGCTCATCCGTCTGATTCAGGGGGGGGGGGGGGCTGGTTCATAACGTCTCCTCATAGTATGACGCTCCGCCACTGCTCCCCTGTCTCTTCCTCCTCAGCTCGCCGTGTGCCATCAGCTGTTTGCCGTCTCTCCAGACACGACCACGGTGAACTGACGAGTTAGAGAGGCAGTTACAAAGTTCAGTCTAAGAACAGGAACCTCTGCGAAGACGTGCTGATGCATGTACAGGCCGGTAAACCGCACCTGTCACTACACCTGTGTGACCTCTCCAGGTGACCTGCTACGACCAGGATGTGGTGACAGAGATGGAGGCAGAGCCTAAAGAGCTGGGGGCAGAGCATCATGCCACCCAGACGCTGACATTTGCTGACAGTATGGGGGAGGTGAAGGACGAACAGCCACCTGGTTGGTCGACAGCAACAACAGACATGAAGTTTGAATACCTGCTATATGGACACCGAGAACAGCTCGCCTGCCAGGTGTGTGGCAAGACCTTCTTGGACGAGAGCAGACTCAGGTACGTACCACACATCTGGATCACACACCCGGTCAACACACTTGGATAACACACCTAGTCACCGTCTCTCTGTTTGTAGGAAACATGAGAAGCTTCACTCAGCAGAGCGTCCGTTTGCCTGTGAGATCTGCACCAAAGCTTTCACCACACATGCTCACCTGAAAGGTACAAACACACCTGTACTCAGGTGTAACCAGATACCATCAGATTACTGTGGGACTGTGTTTTTACTCTAAGGTAACGTGTTTGGCTCCGCCTTCACCTGTGTGTTCCAGAGCACCTGAAGATCCACACAGGCTTCAAACCGTACAGGTGTGACGTTTGTGGTAAATCGTTCATTCGAGCTCCAGACCTGAAGAAACACGAACGAGTTCACAGCAACGAGAGACCGTTCGCCTGCCAGATGTGTGACAAGGTGAGCTCATCTGTCTCTGTCTCACCTGTCTGCCTCTCCTGTTTCATACCTTTCTGTCTGCTCACCTGTCTGTCGGCTCACCTGTCTGCAGGCGTTTAAACACAAGTCTCACCTGAAGGATCATGAGAGGAGACACAGAGGAGAGAAACCATTCGTCTGTCCGTCCTGCACCAAGGCCTTCGCCAAGGTACCTATTATATCTGAACACTCAGTACACCTGCTGTCTGTCTGTCACGTGGTGAGTTCACTGTCTTTGTACTTTCAGGCGTCAGATCTGAAGCGTCATGAAAACAACATGCACAGTGAGAGGAAACAGCTGAATCCACTGCAGAGCGACACAGAGACACTGCAGGCTGCTGCCATGGCTGCAGAGGAGCAACATCTGGACAACATCAGCTGCTCCTAACATCTGGACAACATCAGCGACTCCTCACATCTGGACAATATCAGCTGCTCCTCACATCTGGACATCAGCTGCTCCTAACATCAGCTGCTCCTAACATCTGGACAATATCAGCTACTCCTCACATCTGGACAACATCAGCTGCTCCTTATCACTGTATGAATAAGAATATTTTGACTGTATCTGTTGATTGATTTTAATGTAGTTTTCTCTGCATCAGTGAACATGAACTGACTTTAAAGGGGCTGTTTGTAAGTTTCCTCTGCTGCTGAACCTGGTTTTATTCTGGAGCCGATGATGACGATGGTGATGAAGATTGTCACTCACCAGGATCTTTAGTCATCGTTGTGTTTACAGCAGGTTATAATCCGTCCACTGAGCAGCTTCAGGACAGACTGCAGGCTACAGTGACTCAGTATCAGAAAGTGAGGAGACGATCTGACCAGGCTGCAGCTAGCTGGTTAGCATGCTAACTTCAGTAGAAGAGAAGAGACCAGAAGTTACATTGGTGTTTGGAGACAGCTGTTGGTGAGTAAAAGATGATGTTAGTTTCTTCTAGACTGGTAAGTAAACAGATGCTAATGCTATGTGGCAATAGCAGAACTTACAAATAGCTCCTTTAACATGAACTGATAACCTCAACGATCATGTGGTGAACATGTTAAACGTGGCTGACGTTCCTCTGGCTTCTTGTATGATCTGTAAATACTTCTCCCTTTGTAAATGACAGGACTCTGTACAGAAAACTGTTGTATATGAATCTGTTCAGTTCAATGAGCAGAGCTGCTGTGTTTAAACCACGACTTTTATTTTATTGTTTCATTACTGTCACTAAACTACAGGAGCCCAGAGTGGACACATAAACTCAAAGGGCTCTGTTTACATGAAATAAACCATTTTAATTCAAACCAGGATCATTACATTCTCAACATATTCTCTAGGTTTACTGATGTGTTCTGTTGTTCTATTCATGTTCGTCACACTGACACACAGCTGTAGGTACAGACTCTGACCAGCAGGAGGAGAGACAACACCTTCAGCACATCTTTGATTTTAGTATGAGCAAGTTTTTACATCCACATTTTAGTTTATTACAAACAACAGAACAGGAAGAGACCGATTGATTCTCTGCTTTGCTATCAATAATCAATATGTACAAAATACAAAGTAAATATCAATAGAAACTGTTTCTATTGATCTCCATTGATGTTTGAACACTGAAGTTTAGGAGCCTTATGTTTATACCATCTGATGAATGATGGGATGTGATGTCACCGCTGTGATGTCAAGTGTTGGTTATAGGTGTAAGTTGTTGAGAGTGGTGAGACAGGTTCAGACTAGTGGTGAGACAGCTGGAGACTTGTGGGGCAGGAGGTAAGACGAGTTATGAGACTGTCGGGTGGTAAGGCACGTTGTGAGACAGGTTGGAACTAGTTTTGGAAGCGGTGAGACGGGGGAGAGTGGTTCAACAGGTTGCCAGAGGCAATGAGACAGGTAGAACAAGTTGTGACACAGGTGAGAAAGATTGTGTGTCAGGGTTTGATCAGCCAATCACAGTGAGGATTCGCTCTGTAAACATCCAACAGGATGCAGTCTGGATGGAGACGACGCTCACCTGAGAGACAGACAGGTGTTAATATCTTTGAATACCTGTGCAGCAGGTAGTTATTTGACAATGTCATAATGAGACTCACAGATGTTTCCTCCGACTTCGTACAGACTCTGAACAGGACTGGTGGTTGAGAGACAGAGAGAGAGACAGAGAGAATATATAATTTATATATATATACTATTGTATAATCATTAATCATCCGTCAATATTTATAATTTTCTGTACTGCTCTGGAAATATAGGTTTCTGATCTCTCATGCCAATAAAGCTTATTTGAATTTGAATTTAAATTTGAGAGAGACAGACAGAGAGAGAGAGAGAGCAAGAGAGACAGGATAAATGACAGATTGTGTCTGTGTGTTAAAAGGTTCAGACCTGGTTTTATGGTTCAGGTTCAGAGTTAGGTGGGGGGTGGTCCTTACAAGTACAGAAGTGTGTGTGTGTTACCTGTTCTCAAACTCGAAGCGGGCGGTGACGTCTTTGGCTCTCATTTGTCCGTCAAGTTGTATCGCCATGGAGACCTTGGTGTGTAGGGGGGCACAGACCCTGATCACACCTTCACAAACCTCTGTGATCTGCACACACACAAAGGTGTGATGTCACACTGTTGACATCAGAGGACAAACAGGTGAACAGGTTCATTTAATATGGCCCCGTTCTGGTATTGGTCTCACCTGGTTTCTGTCATTCTTGTCACTCTTCCTCCTCAGGAGTCGTCTCCCTGTCCTCGTCAGGCCAGACTGTTTTTGATTGGTTGCCTGGTTCATCCGTCTCACCTGAGACAACAGGAAGCTTGGAACCTATCAGAGAAAGACAGGTGATGTCACAGACAGGTGTAACCTGTAACTGGGTGGAGACGGATCTTAAGTTGCCATAGAAACTGGGACTGTACAGGTGTGTCCTCAGACTCACGATCCACAACAGGTCCTGGTGTGTGATCATCAGCCGGATCAGTTGAGCTCCACCTACTGCCTCCTCCATCTCCTCCCGTTGCTTGGTGATGGATAGCTTGTTACCATGGTGACGGCAGGAGAACAGGTTGGGTGCCATTACCATGGAGACATTCCACAGAGACATCCGGTTTTGGTCCTGATGAGAGACCACCTTACGCAGGAAGACTAGCAGGGCCTGTAACCATGGAAACAGATCCAGATTAACCTGTAACTATGGAAACAGATCCAGGTTTACCTGTAACCATAGAAACAGGTCCAGGTAGGTTTACCTGCAATTATGGAAACAGATCCAGGTTTTGTGTGTGTGTGTGTGTGTGTGTGTGTGTGTGTGTGTGTGTGTGTGTGGAGTCAGGAGAGTTTCACCTGTAATCACTGCAGCCAGGTGTTTAACCTGTCTGTCAGTGTGAACAGTAGTTACACCTTTGACCACCTGCTGAGTCTTTGACCCTAACACCTGTTGAGCTGATTTGATGTTTTGTTTTTGTGTGTTGCTGTTGTGTAGTTCTTTTTGTTGTTGTGTATTTGCTGTGTTGTTGTTGTTTACTCTGAGTGTGTCTCTGTTGACTTCAGGAAGTAACAACGACAGCAGCTGCAGAGCCTGAACCTGGTGGAGAACAGATGACACACCTGCAGAGACAAACAGGTCAACACAGTTCATTCATTCAGTGGGAGGCTAGCCCCCCCCCCCACCAGTTGTCTGTACGGTGTGCGTGTGTGTGTGTGTACCCAGCACAGAGCGGTAGGTGGACAGGTGTGTGTGTGTCAGCAGAGGTGTCGGCAGCTCTCTGATGAAAAGCTTCAGAAGACCTGCAGCGTCCACCTGTCTGACTGCAGACCAGTCCAAGTCTCCACCACACCTGTCTAACTCTCTACGCAGGTACTACAGACAGAGAGACAGACAGACAGACAGAGAGACAGACAGACAGACAGACAGACAGATTCCCTCATGTCCTTCAAAAAAATACCATCATATTATTCAATTTAAATGTATTTTAATTTGGTGAGACAGTTTGTTACCTTCAGTCTGGCAGCTGATCCTGGTACTCTGAGAATCCCCTCAGTCTGCAGGCCGGTCTGCTCTAAGATACACAGCAACTACACACGCACGCACACACACACACACACACAGACAGATCAATACAATGGAAAAGGCTGACTCCTCTCACACATTATCAATATTTCATCTGAGCTCAGCTCCGTCTCCAGCAGCCACAGAATCTTTCTCGTCACTGGCATCATCACTGACATTACAGACATCACAGCCTCTGTGATGGTTCTCACAAAGACAGCAGTACTAGTGTTTATGGTTGTTTGTTGTTGTAACAGCTCAAATTTAAATCTGATGACATCACAGACCTGAAACCAGGTAAACCACTTCCTGTTCATAATCATCAGAGGTCGATGTGTTTGTAGAAGTGTTGGAGACTCAGTGTCAGGGTCCAACAGCTGATCTGAGGTCATATGTTCTCTGTAGAACATTAGAACCTCAGTTCTGTCAGAGAACAGCTGCAGCTGCTCTGATCTAAATTAAACTTCAACACATTTAACTTGAAGCTAAATGCTAACCACACACTGCATCACAGGAATGTTCAGCTGTAGCACGTTAGCTCAGCAGAAAGCTAACATGAATGTCAGCTGAAACAACACTGACCTGCAGACAGACAGAGAGAGAGACAGACAGACAGACGGGTTCTTCACCTTCTGGAAGACGACAGGAACTTTGATTCCAGGAAACTTTTTCCTGTCATTCTCCAACAATGAGTTCAGAGGAACACCGAATACACCGCCGTCTGATCAACAGAGAGAGAGAGACAGAGTCATAGTGTCATTGTGTTTTCAGATTCAGTAACAGATGAAATGTTTTATATTAATCAGTGTTAATGACGTCATCATCAGTTATCTCATCTGTAATAATATGAGCCCTGTTCAAACATTGTGATGTCATAAAGTCATAGATGTGTAGAGATCAACTGAGAGATGATCAACTTAAATCTTTGACAGTGTTTGTTTTTTGTAAAAATGAAGCTCACCCCGGGTTCTGTGGCGTGGTGGACGGGTATGTTTGGTTTGGACACCTAGAGCGACCAGGAAGGTGGAGAGCTCGATGTGAGAGATGAAGCAGAGCTGGGTGAGGTCACATGATGACAGGTCATCTGCCCAGGTGAGATCCTGAGAGGGACAGACAGGTACAAACTACACACACACACACACACACACACACACACACACACACACACACACACACACACACACACACACACTGTGATCATTCAAGGAGCATATTCATTTCCTTTAAAACACTTAGAATCCTGATCAGACCTGAACCACATGTTGATCTGGTTCAGTGTGACATCACTTCCTAACCCAGAATAAAGCTCCAGAGAAATGGAGTCTGTAGAACTTCATAGAGAATCCTCCTGTTTTTAAGTTTCCTTCATAAATGACAGTAAAACATCATGATACACTGCGGACAGGAAGTGATCACAGCTGATCACAATCGATCTCAGCTGTGATCAGCTGCTGTTAATGAGACAGTCTGACTACATGGAAACTGAAGGCTAAAGTTGTAGCTCACAGTTAACTCACTAAATCCATGGCAACATTATACTTTGTGTTTACACTCCCCAAAGCATTATGGGAGCTGTAGTTCCAAAGTAAACAGCAGGATCATCTCAGAAATTACTAAAATGTTGTTGTTGGTCTCCATGGTAACAAACAGGTGAATGTCACAGATCAGACTCACTGACAGGTCACTGTTGTCATCCTCAATGAAATGCAGGCAGTCCCAACAAGTCCCGCCCCGTTTGTGCTCAGCCACACCCTCTGAATACGTAGAGTCTCGCAACAGCCAATCAGCTCGTCTTGACTGACTGACGGGTGGTGAGTGAGTGTGAGGAGGGGAGGGAGTGAGTGTCAGAGAGTGTGTGTTTGACGGAGAGTGTGTGTTTGTGGGGGATGATGGGTGTTCAGGAAGCTGATCCTCAAACAGAAACGTGGGAAGAGTTGATCGAACTGTAAACACAAACATCAACAGTAAACAGTCTAATCTCTAGAACGACGTAGAAGAAAACTAGAACCATCTAAAGGACCTCTAGAATCTCCTAAGTGACCAATAGCAGACCTAAGGGACCCCCAGAACCACCTAGAGGACTCATGGATCATCCAGAACTACCTCTAGAACCTCTAACGGACTACTCAAACCTCCTCATTGACTACCACGTACTCCTACAGACAAGAGGAACTCTAGAACCCAGTACAGGATCCAACAGGCCTGTGATTGGGTAGGTCTTTGAGCAGAGAGACAGGTACCTCTGTGAGTGCTGCGGCGGATGGTTTTGGTGGTGGTGTGGTATCGACTCGGTGGTGACGCAGAGTGGTGAGAGAAGGGGGAGGGGCATCTGTCAGCTGAGTCATTGTCAGACTGAAACAGAAAACACTGAGTCATGACTTTTTCTAATGCACTACAACTCCCAGAATTCCCTTCAAGATCTGTGTTCAGATACATAATGACACATTAAAACATAATGGCTGATTTTTATATGATTACAGTTTATCTGAAAACAGCCAGAGAGAATGTGACTGCTCTCACAGCAGGCTTCAAACCAGCTTTATTCATAACACATGGACGAAAACAAAACACAATCAGCTGTTACATGTGTTACACCCCGTGTTTATTTTTGTGTTACACCTTGTGTTTACCTTTGTTACACTCTGTGTGTATGTCAGTGTATATATTTGACCCACCTGAGTGAAGATGTCCCGGACATCTCTGATTGGCTGCTTGTTTCTCTTCTTCAGCGTCTCATTGTATATGTCCAGCCTCCTCCTCACTGTGGCGGTTTGTTGCCGTGTCAACGTGGACAGCACTGCCTCAGCCGGCGGCGGCGCCTCGTCCTCCGACGAGCCTGTCACCAGGGAGGATAACCCCGCCTCTGTCAGCCACGCCTCCTCCAGCTCCACCTCTGCAGGTAAACAAAGACAGGTAGAGATGAGACACGGAGCGAATGTCTCACTTTGCTGTAAGTTTGACTTACCGTCCATACTCTTCCTCTCCTCCTCTTCCTCATCTTCATCTTCTCCCTCCTTCTCCTCCTCGATGCTCTGCACTTCCCTCCAGTAGGTTTCCATGGCAGCATGGCGGGGGTCAGAGGTCATTGTGTTGGTGGGTGGAGGGGGGGAGGGGGAGGGGGAGGTGGTAGGTGGACACGATAACATCCTGTAGAGACAGAGACAAACGATTCTGTCAGATTAATGGATCCGGTCAGTCAATCACAGTGTCAGAGACAAACAGAGCTCAGAGTCAAACATCACTTATATATGATACATATACTACTATACTACTGTATATAAACTACTTTATATAAACCACTGTATAAACTACTGAATATAAACTACTATATAAACTACAGTATATAAAATACTGTATATAAACTACAGTATATAAACCATGGTATAAACTACTGTATATAAACCACTGTATAAACTACAGTATTTAAACCACTGTATAAACTACTGTATAAACTACTGTATATAAACCACTTTATAAACTACAGTATTTAAACCACTGTAGGAACTACTGTATATAAATTACTGTATAAACTACATTATTTAAACCACTGTAGGAACTACTGTATAAACTACTGTATATAAACCACTGTATAAACTACTGTATATAAACTACTGTATATAAACCAATGTATGAACCACTGTATAAACCACTGTATATAAACTACTGTATAAACTACTGTATATAAACTACTGTATAAACCACTGTATAAACCACTGTATAAAAACTACTGTATATAAACCAATGTATGAACCACTGTATAAACTATTGTATAAACTGCTGTATATAAAGTACTGTATAAACTACTGTATATAAACCACTGTATAAACTACAGTATAAACTACATTATTTAAACCACTGTAGGAACTACTGTATAAACCACTGTATATAAACTACTGTATAAACTACTGTATATAAACTACTGTATAAACCACTGTATAAACCACTGTATAAAAACTACTGTATATAAACCAATGTATGAACCACTGTATAAACTATTGTATAAACTGCTGTATATAAAGTACTGTATAAACTACTGTATATAAACCACTGTATAAACTACAGTATAAACTACATTATTTAAACCACTGTAGGAACTACTGTATAAACTACTGTATATAAACCACTGTATAAACTACTGTATATAAACTACTGTATATAAACCAATGTATGAACCACTGTATATAAACCACTGTATATAAACACCTATATAAACCACTGTATATAAACTACTGTATAAACCACTGTATAAACTACTGTATAAACTGCTGTATATAAACTACTGTATAAACCACTGTATAAACCACTGTATAAACTACTGTATATAAAGTACTGTATAAACTACTGTATATAAACCACTGTATATAAACCAATGTATGAACCACTGTATAAACTGCTGTACATAAAGTACTGTATAAACTACTATATAAACCACTGTATAAAACTACTGTATAAAAACTAGCTCAGATGAAATATTGATGTGTGTGTGTGTGTCTTTCATAGACTCCTTTAGGGGACACATTTCAGACCAGTCAACTGTGGACAAAAGCTGACATTAGTCAAGGTCTCCAGGTAATATCCCCAAACCTGTGTGTGTATGTGTGTGTGTGCGTGCATGCGTGTGTTACAGTGTGTGTGGTAGGGGAACCTCGGTCTAATGCTTTTGGTTCTCAGGGGAGGGGAGTGGGGTGCGCAGACTAATGATAACTGCAGCTGTATGTCCATTAGGAGGAAATGGATGCTGTCATCCAATCAAAGCGTCAGGGATAAGTGTTTTCACTCAGGTCCTTAGACAGTAATCTGACCTGGTTATTCCTCCTGACGTTAAATCATCTGAGAAACACTCGGACCTCTGCAGCTTCATTTTATCTTATTGTTTAGTTTTCAGAGTTTAGTTCAAGAGAGGAAACTGAACAGAACAACAACAATAATAATATCAATAACAATGATAATAATAATAATAATCATAGATTTTTAAAAAGAAGTTGACTTAAAAACTTACAGTTAAAAATCAATTCACAAGTGAAAAAAACTGTCTGGATCCAGATCAGAGGATCACCAGACCTGGTCCAGAGACTTTGGACCGGGTCGTGTTGCAGGTCTGAGTCAGTCTGAATTCTGTTGCCTTCTTTGCCTCTTCTAATGCCTGTGTCTCTCGGTGGATGTGAACCTGGTCTGGATCTGTTGCTGAAACTGGTTTTTCTGGTCCACATCTTGGAATACTGGATTCAGACCAGATTTGGGTCCACTGTGTCTGCTCTTGTCACCCTGCCCCTCCAGTGTAGCAGTCCAGTGGTCCAGACCAGCTTGACTCATAGACTAGGTTTCTAGTTATCCAAAGTATGTGATGTGGTTTAAATCTGGTCTTCGCCAGGCAGCTTAGTCCTCATCTGTTGTTCTGATCCAGATCCATTAAACACAGCAGGTCATCAATCTAAACTCTGACCAGACTCTGACTATGTCCAGTCTTGGTCTGAGTCCTGGTCTGGTCGTTTTAACATGTTTTTGTTGAACAATCTAATTTCACTATCTTTCCTCGTCTTCTTATTGATCTTGTGTCAGTTTCTACCTCTCTCTACCACTCTCTCGTTCCCTTCAGTAGCATCAGTGCCATTGCAATCGATATCTCATCAATATGTTATCAATAAATTATCCATATGTTATCCATTTGGTCCCTATCAGTGTATGATTAGTGATCAATCAAGGCATAAAGACAAGAATCCAACTCACCCCTGATATGTCCGGCTGCTGATCCTCTCTGTGAGAAGACGAGGGGGAGGAGTTGTGAAGGGCCAGAGAGGGAGGGGGGAGGGAACATTCTGGTCCCCCAGTTTAGACCAGCAGCTGGAGAGCAGCTCAGACTGGGAGTGTTGAAGTTAACACTGACAACACTGACATCTTTGGTGAGCTTAGCTTAGCACAAAGACTGGGAGCAGAGGGAAACTGTTAGCTTAGCTTTGGCAGAAAGCTCATTATCATAGAAATTCTTCAGTTAACAGAAACAAAATAAGCATAAAAAAGAAGTAAACTGTATAAACACACTGATTATAAACAGGTTATATCTAATTAAAGTGCAAATTTTAATAATTAATTGATTAAATGATTGCATAAATTTCCACTTGGGGATAAATAAAGTATCTATCTATCTATCTATCTATCTATCTATCTATCTATCTATCTATCTATCTATCTATCTGATTTAATGATTAATGATTAGATGAAGGCAGTGGAGAATAAAGCAGCTTTTAGCACTTAGCTTTGTGCTAGCTCTAGTGTGTTTGTTTTATCCTTTTAAGACAGTGTGTGTTATTGATGAAGTTTTAGATTTAGATAATATTTCATATGTCGTTGTTGTTGTGTCTAAAATAAATCAGTGAAGAAGAGATTTCAGGTAACGTCTTGCTGCTGTCAGTCAGACCACACGGTGGTGCTGCAGGCCACTAGTCTCTATACTATAATACAGAGGTGTCTGATGTTTGTTAAAGGATGTTATTGGTCCACCTGTAAGTGACGTGTTGCACCTGTTCGGGCCATGTGACAGGTATCAAACACATGAAGCATTAAAGCAGTGAACAGGATTAAATCACATTTTAATGAAGGTTAAACGCATCCTAACACAGGAATTTGAACATTAATAAATGACCTCATTATAAACCTCAAAACTTTATTTAAAACAATAACTTTATTTATTTCACAAGCTGATTTTATTTACATGTTTATTTCCCCCCACCCCCGCCAGTCCTCTGGAGGCGCATGCGCAGTGACCTCTCAGCATTTCCGTGTAGTGGAGCTGTCAGCAGTCTGAGGCGGAACACCACACACGGTAAGTTTCTGTCTAAACTCTTAGTACCGGTACCGGATCCTCTTGTTTACCTCTGTCCGGGTCCCCGGCTCCTCTCAGCGGCTCTCCGCAGCAGCTGCAGCCGCTCTCAGGAGCTCAGAGTCCGGCGGAGAGCGCCGAGGATCACCGGCGGGTCTGAGCTGTTTGTTGTTTCCTGATTGAACCTGCGTCAATTCACACAGGTGCGGGCAGCGCAATTCCGCTCAGATCTTCACAATAAGAGTCTGGATCGAGTGCCAGATAGCTCATTTTGATTCATGTGCAACTTTAGTCTGAAGAGATTGTACAGACACACACACACACACGCACACACGCACAAACGCACACACACACACAAACACACACACTGAGTCCGAAAGATTTTTAATCCCAACCAACAAAACAACGCTTTTCTTTCATTGTAAAATCAGTTTTTAACAGATGTTGATTAGGATCCGACTGAACCCAGAGGTGGAGGAAGTATTGTAATTGTGCTGCAGTAAAAGTAGGCTACTAATAAACACTGTAAAATACTCTGGTACAAGTAAAAGTGCTGCTGTAATGTGAGAGAGTGAAGGACGACCTTGGTGTCACTTCTACATGACTTTAAGAAGTGAAGGAGATAAGGTGAAGTTCACAGTCAGAGCTGGTCAGACATGTTGTCAGACATATATATGTTATAGAAGTCAGGAGAGGAGGTGCTCTCTGAGGAGAGGAGTCTACAACATGTTCTGCTCTGATAGAACCACAGACCAGAACAGTCTGAACTGCAGGAAGGTGATGTCAGAGGAGCACAGTATAAGTCTGGGTGAGTTCAGATAGATGGTTCAGACCCAGCGTTGACTCTGAAGGCAGCACCAGGTGTAAACAGGTTGATGAGCAGCAGAGTTCAGATCATAATATCATTCAATTGCTGTTTTATATCAGGTTGTGATCAATGATCATTTTCATTATGGATTAATCTTCTGATCATTTTCTCCATGATTCATGAATTGAGTCTGAGAAACTGATCAGCTGATCAGTTTATAATGGTCAATAGTTGCAGTTCTACAAAGCAACAGTAACAATCAAATGACACATAGATGTGTACACAGTACACACTCGTTTTATTGCATGGACACTTTTAATACTTGAAGTATATTTTCCTCATTGTATTGAACATCTTCACAGTACTTTTACTGCAGTGGGGTGTCTGAGTACTTCTTCCATCTCTGTGGATCATCGTGACCTTTGACCCTTATTAGCAGCGTCCTCCTGGCACAATAAAAGAGAGACAGCTCAGTGATTTGATCCCAAACTTGCTGCAGGAAGACTTTTATTTTGAAGGTAGACTCATGTGGACTTCCTGTGTGTGTGTCTTTGTGTTGTAATGGAGTCGTTTCCTGCCATGATGAAGATGATGAAGAGTGTTTGTTTGTGTTTAACAGCTGTTCTGATGAGTACTGATGCAGTTATTGATTATTTGACATCAGATGATTGTTATTGATCAGTATTGATCAGTTATTTTATTGATCCAGTGGAAGAACTGATGTTGTTGTGATTATAAATGAGAAGATGAGTCACCACAGAGATTGTCTCAATGACCCCATTACAACAGATTGATCAGTGATTAGTTTTGAACAGATTGATGCGGCAGTGCCGCTGTACCTTCATGTTTGTTTATTTCCTGTCTCAACAGAAAAGAACCAAAGAAGAATAAGATGAAGAACAAAGTCAGCAGCACTCAAGGTAAGTGTCCCCGTCCCCCCACAGCCTGATGCTGCCTCCACCAGGCTTCAGTATTGTTCAGGTGATATCTGCTTTCATCCAGACCTGACTCTGAGACCTGAGACCAGACAGTTCAGCCATGGTCTCATCAGACCAGAATCTGGTTTCTCTCAGTCTCAGAGTCCTCTAGCTGTCCGTGAGGAGAGGCTCTGTCTGAATCCTCTGACATGAACCTGAACATGTTGATCTGGTTCAGTTTGCTTCCTGATGATGTCATCACTTCTGACCATAAAGCTCAAGAGAAACAGAGTCTGTAGAACACTGCATACAGGAAGTGATCACAGCTGATTACAGCTGATTCAGTCTCACTACATGTGAACTGATACAGGATATAAAATATAGACTGGAGTCTAGATCAGAAACATGAAACCTGCAGGTCTGTGATAGTCTTTGCGTGACCGAATGTAGGTCAGAACAGTGTAGTAACCGTGGTACCAACAGTGTGTGTGTGTGTGTGTGTGTGTGTGTGTGTGTGTGTGTGTGTGTGTGTGTGTGTGTGTGGCTGTGGCTGTGGCTGTGGCTGTGGCTGTTCAGTGAGTGTAAAGCGATGGTCCTGGTCCTGGCAGCAGTACCTGAATGAACAGAAAGCTGAAGCTGCTCCACTGACACTCTTTACACAGGTAACACACACACACTAGTTAAAAAAGGTATTTGTCCTGTGTAAAACTTTCAGACACTAAAAGTTTATTAACATACAATCATGAATATGAATCTGAACTGTCTCTCTCCGACCCGTCTCTCTCTCTCTGACATGTGTCTCTCTCTGATCTGTCTCTCTCTCACCTGTCTCTCTCTGTGACTTGTCTCTCTCTGACATGTCTCTCTCTCTGACCTGTCTCTCTCTCTCACCTGTCTCTGTCTCTAACATGTCTCTCTCTGACCTGTTTCTATCTCTGACCTGTCTCTCTCTCACCTGTCTCTCTCTCACCCTTCTGTCTCTCAGTCTCAGTCCTTTCCCAGTAGGAGAACTGCTTTTAAAGTTGGGATGAAGCTGGAAGGCGTCGACCCACTGCACCCCTCCATGTTCTGTGTGCTGACGGTTGCCGAGGTAACGCTCACACACACACAGGCACACATAACTGTCTGAGGTGGGTCAGAGGACTCACCTGTCCCTCTGTCAGGTGATCGGATATCGGCTGCGTCTCCATATTGATGGCTACTCAGAGTGCTATGACTTCTGGGTAAACGCTGACTCAGCAGACATCAGACCGGCAGGCTGGTGTAGAGACCACAACCACAAGCTCCACCCACCTAAAGGTGAGCACAAGTAGCCTGACACCCTCTCAGGTAATCACCTGACACAGATGACATCATTCTACCTGTCTGTCTCTCTCTTTAAAGGTCAAAGTGAGACACAGTTTGAATGGCAGCTCTACCTTCAGTCCACAGGCTCTCATGCGGCGCCTCCATCCCTGTTCACCTGTCGCACTACAGTCAGTATACACCTGCCTAACCTGTCTGTCTGCTCACCTGTCGCACTGCAGCCATTAAACACCTGTCTCACCTGTTGTCCGCTCACCTGTTGCACTGCAGTCAGTATACACCTGTTCCACCTGTCTGTCTCTCCGCCTGTTTGTCTCTCAGGGCTGTGGATTCAGGCTGGGGATGAAGATGGAGGCTGTCGACAAGAAGAACCCCGGACTTGTCTGCGTCGCCTCCGTCGCCGATGTCATCGAAGATCATTTCCTTGTTCACTTTGACAACTGGGACGACACGTACGACTACTGGTGAGACAGACAGGTCACAGACAGACAGGTGACAGATAAGCAGTACAAGGAGTAATATTAGCAGTATGAGGAGTAGTACCAATAGTAGTATCAGTAGTAGTATCAGGAGTAGTATCAGTAGTATCAATAGTCGTATCAGGAGTAGTGTCAGTAGTAGTATCAGGAGTGGTATCAGTAGTATCAATAGTAGTATCTGGAGTAGTATCAGTAGTAGTATCAGGAGTAGTATCAGGAGTAATATCACTACTGTCAGCAGTAGTATCAAGAGTAGTATCACTAGTATCAATAGTATCAATAGTAGTATCAGGAGTAATATCAGTTATATCAGTAGTATCATTAGTAGTATCATTAGTAGTATCAGGAGTAGTATCAGGAGTTGTATCAGTAGTAGTATCAGGAGTAGTATCAGGAGTAATATCAGTAATATCAGTAGTATCAGTAGTAGTATCAAGAGTAGTATCAGGAGTAATTTTACTAGTGTCAGTAGTAGTATCAGAAGTAGTATCAGTAGTATCAATAGTAGTATCAGGAGTAGTATCACTTGTATCAATAGTATCAATAGCAGTATCAGGAGTAGTATCAGTAGTATCAGTAGTAGTATATCGGCCATATGCTGTTAAACTGTTGTAAAATGTAAAGCGCTGCTCGTGATCATTTGTAAACTGATTCGTTCAGTTCAGCGTTCACTAAAAATATGAATCAGTGTTCAATGAACAACACTGGTAGTGTCAGTAGTATCGGTAGTGTAAGTAGTAGTAGCAGCCGATGTTTCTGTTTCAATCGGGAGTAGCAGCAGCACCAGCAGTACTATGAACAGCGGTAGAAGCAGTAGCAGTAGTAGTATCAGTATTAATTAGAGCAGCAGTGGCAGTATCAGTTGCTGTAATAGCAGTACTATCAGTATTATTAGTAATACTACAGTACAGTGTAGTATTTGCAGTAAATCATGTTGTGATGTTGAGCAGCAGGTGGAGCTGCTTTCACCGTATTTCTATCAATCTGGTTGACTCAATGTGATCAGATGTTTATTGATTAACTTGATGAACTGCTGCATGTCAGTATTGATGAACTGATGGTTGTATTTATTGATCAGGTGTGACAGCAGCAGTCCGTACATCCATCCTGTCGGCTGGTGTGAAGAACAGGGACGACCTCTGACCGCCCCCCAGGGTACACACAGTATTTATACAGACAGTATTTATTGTACACAGTATTTATACACGCAGTATTTAACCTGTAGTATTTTGGTAATCAGTACTTTGTTTTTCAGGTCATCCAAACCCAGAGAACTTCCTGTGGGAAGAATACCTGCAGGAAACCGGTTCCACTGCTGCTCCCAGTTCAGCCTTCACACTGGTGAGGAAACAAGGAGGTAGAAGAGGAGAGGAGGAGGTAGAGAAGGAAACGAGGTAGAGGAGGAGAGGAGGAGGTAGAGAAGGAGGTAGTTTAGGAAGGGTGTAACTGACAGCTGTCATGTCCAGTCAGAAGGCTGGATAAAATGATTAAGAATTGTCTTTGTGCCTCTGTCCAATCAGAGAGCTCCACATGGTTTCCAGGTGAACCACAGGCTGGAGGCTGTCGACAGGAGGAACCCTATGTTGATCCGCGTTGCCACAGTAACAGATACAGAAGACTACAGGGTGAAGGTATTGTCTACCTGCCCATCTACCTGTCTCTATGTAATAGTCTTTATGCCTGTGTGATGTCATAAAGGTGTCTGTACCTGCAGGTTCATTATGACGGCTGGTCACAGCAGTTTGACGTCTGGTGTGACAGCGACCTCTGTGACCTTCATCCTGTCGGCTGGTGTCAACGCACAGGACACCCACTGGAACCTCCCCCAGGTCAGACAAACAGGTCAGAGAGAGACAGGTTGGACAGACAGGTCAGAGAGAGAGAGGGACACATCGGACAGACAGGTCAGAGAGACAGGTTAGAGACAGACAGGTCAGAGAGAGACAGACAGCTATACTGTAGAAGTATCACTAATTATCTTAACTTTGTTTATCATTTTCCTTGTGTGTGAGACAGGTTCCTCCCCCCTCTCCTCTCCCTCTCAGGGTGTATGTCCCACTCCAGGCTGCAGAGGAGTCGGACACATCAAAGGAGCCAAATACACCGGACACCACAGGTACACACACCTGTCTCATACAGACCAATTTGATAAATTTACCTGCTGAGTCTTGTTTTCCTGTCTGATGAGTCAAGCTTTATATCTGCTGAGTCATGTCTCTGTTTCTTTCTGCTGAGTCATCACTGTTTCTTTCTGCTGGCTCATGTCTTCTTTCTGCTGAGTCGTGTCTGTTTTTTTTCTGCTGAGTCATGTCTCTGTTTCTTTCTGAGTCATGTCTTATTTCTGCTGAGTCATGTTTTCTTTCTGTTGAGTCATATCTTCTTCCTGCTGAGTCGTGTCTGTTTTTTCTGCTGAGTCATGTTTTCTTTCTGCTGAGTCATGTCTTAATTCTGCTGAGTCATGTCTCTGTTCCTTTCTGCTGAGTCATGTCTTAATTCTGCTGAGTCATGTCTCTATTTCTTTCTGCTGAGTCATGTCTTAATTCTGCTGAGTCATGTCTCTATTTCTTTCTGCTGAGTCATGTCTTAATTCTGCTGAGTCATGTCTTTATTTCTTTCTAGTGAGTCATGTCTTTCTGTTGAGTCATATCTTTCTGCTGAGTCATGTCTTAATTCTGCTGAGTCATATCGCTGTTTCTTTCTGCTGAGTTATGTCTCTATTTCTTTCTACTCAGTCATGTCTTTCTGTTGAGTCATGTCTCTGTTTCTTTCTCGTCTTCACTAGTGTTTTGTGTTTTTCAAATCTCTCTCTCCTTGTCTCTTTATCTCCTTCTGTGTCTCTCGTCCAGTGCCTTTGGCTGTCCATACTCGGATATTAATATGCGTAAGGAGGTGGTGCTCCCTGATAGGCTAGGAGGAGAGAGAGTGGTCACCCTCGTACCTGTCACCGTGCATCAGTCAGACAGGTAAAGACAGACAGGTGGAAAGAAGGTTTCACACTTGTCTTTTTAAATTACTTTCTTAACATTTATCAGTTTATTATTTATGAACACAGACTCAGTATATTTTATATTGCTGGTTGTTTTCATCATCTGTCTGTCAACCTGTCTATCTCTACCCATCCACCTGTCTGTGTCTCACTAACTCTACCTGTCTGTCTCTGACTAACTCTATCTGTCTATCTCTACCCATCAACTTGTCAGTCTCTCACTAACTCTACCTGTCTGTCTCTCACTAACTCTACCTGTCAGTGTCTCACTAACTCTACCTGTCTATCTCTACCCATCCACCTGTCTGTCTCACTAACTCTACCTGTCAGTCTCTCACTAACTCTACCTATCTGTCTCTCACTAACTCTACCTGTCCGTCTCTCACTAACTCTACTTGTCTGTCTCTACCTAACTCTACCTGTCTGTCTGTGACTAACACTACCTGTCTGTCTCTCACTAACTCTACCTGTCTGTCTGCTGAACAGGAGAGGTATTCAGCTGAAGACGGAGCCGAGAGACGAGACTCTGCTGCTTCCACTGGGGAAGAGAAGAAGACTGACAGACAGGTGAGACATACAGACATACAGACAGACATACAGACAGACAGACAGACAGACAGACAGACAGACAGACAGACAGTTATAAATACCTGTTGAGTGTCTATGGGTGAAGAAGCTCTATGATTGGCTTGTTGCTCTTTAACTCTGATTAGGTGTCAGACTGTTCAAAGTTAAAACTCTCGACCATCAAACATGGTCTTCCTCACTACAACCTCTGTAGGTTTGAATCAGTACAGTCGGATCCGTCTCTCTCTCTGCCTGTCTGTCTCTCAGCTGACAGATTTTCAGAATAAAGTACAGGATGATGTGAAGTGTGTGTGGGTGTTTTTTGAGAGTAGATTATCTCTGGATGTTATATAAAACTGGATTATATAACACACACACATGAACACACGCACACACACACACACACACACACACACACACACACACACACACACACACACACACAAACAGGCCGATGTGTGTTGATAGTGTCATAAAAACAGGCATGTTGGTGGGAACATTTGACTCAAATCACAGTGCTGTTGAATGCTGCTGGAAGAAGAAGAAACATCAGATTGACCGACAGCAGCTTAGACAGACAGACAGACAGACAGACAGACAGACAGACAGACAGACAGACAGACAGACAGACAGACAGACAGACTAGATTAGACTAGACTAGACTAGTTTCCATGTGTAAATGTCTGACCTCACTTTTCCTCCTCCTCTCTTTTGGCTCCACCCCCAGACTGTCTCAGCCAACCAAATTCCTCTGTGTGAAACAGGAAGAGGAGGAGCTTCACCTGAGACCCCTGGGACCAGGTACAGTGTGCTACCTGATGGTTTCCATAGAAGCAGGTTCATGATGTCAGAGTGAACACACCTGATGTTTGTTGAGCTCAGCAGCCACTTATATTCATCACCATGATCGTCACTGTCATAAACACCTTGATCATAAACACCTGCATCATAAACACATGTATCATGAACACCTGCATCATAAACATATGTATCATAAACACCTTGATCATAAACACCTGCATCATAAACACATGTATCATGAACACCTGCATCATAAACATATGTATCATAAACACCTTGATCATAAACACCTGCATCATAAACACATGTATCATGAACACCTGCATCATAAACATATGTATCATAAACACCTGCACCATAACCATCTGGATCATAAACACCTGCATCATAAACATATGTATAATAAACACCTGGATCATAAACACCTGCACCATAACCATATGGATCATAAACACCTCCATCATAAACACCTGCACCATAAACACCTGGATCATAAACACTGGCATTGTAAACACTGGCATTGTAAACACCTGCATCATAAACACTAGCATCATAAACACCTGGATCATAAACAACAGCATCATAAACACCTGGATCATAAACACCTGCATCATAAACACCTGGATCATAAACACCGGCATCATAAACACCTGCACCATAAACACCTGGATCATAAACAACGACATCATAAACACCTGCACCATAAACACTGGCATTGTAAACACCTGGATCATAAACAACGGCATCATAAACATGTGCATCATAAACACCGGCATCATAAACACCTGCATCATAAACACCGGCAGCATAAACACCTGAATCATGAACACCTGGATCATAAACACCTGCATCATAAACACCTGGATCATAAACACTGGCATTGTAAACACTGGCATTATAAACACCTGCATCATAAACACCAGCATCATAAACACCTGGATCATAAACAGTCACTCAGTCACTTATCTGCCATCACATATCCTGAGCTTGGATTCAGCTTCAGCGTTAACCAGAGCTTTCGAGTGATGGGTTAAAGTGAGCAGAGGCCTTTAAATGGTCACTTACATGAAAACACAGCCTGTGTAAATTCTGCTGCACCACTGTCTCTCTCAGCCTCCTCCCTCTCCAGCCTCAGTGTGTTTCCATAGAAACAGCAGGCAGATGAAGTGGCTGTTTCCATGGAAACAGCTCACTATGGTAACAGCCGTGTTGGTTGTGCTCTCTGTGCTTTATAGTCTAAGGGACTGCAGGCTGTCAGCTCCTCCTGTTTCTGATCACGTGACGCCTGTCTCACTGCTCAGTTGGGTGAGACAGGTCAGTCTACAGACAGGTCTGAAAACAGAGTGTGTCTGAACCTGTTCTGAACCAGGACTGGACCAGGACTGGACCACAGTCCTCCACCGAGTCCTGGTATCGGTGTGTCTACACTGAGATCAGATCCAGCTCAGACCCTCTCTGTATGATAATGTCTTCTGTCTCTAACCTGTCTCTCTCTGACGTGTCTGTTTCTCTTTAACCTGCCTGTATTTCCGGCAGCAGAGTCCAGTCTGCAGGCTGCCCTCCACCAGTCTGTCTTCCTGTCGGCAATGTCAGCGCAGCCCGGCCGAGACCTGTCGCTCTGCTGGGAGCAACACCGCAAACTGCTGCCAGGGGTCGCAGGGGTCCACGCCGAGACCGTCCAACACTGGAGTGTCCAACAGGTCAGTACGATAGGTCAGAGAGAGAGAGAGAGAGAGGGACAGGTCAGTACGACAAGTCAGAGAGAGAGAGACAGGTCAGAGAGAGAGAGAGAGAGAGAGAGAGAGAGAGAGAGAGAGGTCAGTACCACAGGTTAGAGAGAGAGAGAGAGACAGATCAGTACGACAAGTCAGAGAGAGAGAGACAGGTCAGAGAGAGAGAGAGAGAGAGAGACAGGTCAGTACCACAGGATAGAGATAGAGACAGGTCAGAGAGAGAGAGAGAGAAAGAGAGAGAGACAGGTCAGTACCACAGGATAGAGATAGAGACAGGTCAGAGAGAGAGAGAGAGAGAGAGAGCAGTACAACAGGTCAAAGAGAAAGAGACAAGTCAGAGAGAGAGACAGGTCAGTACGACAGGTCAGAGAGAGAGAGAGAGACAGGTCAGTACGATAGGTCAGAGAGAGAGAGAGAGGGACAGGTCAGTACAACAGGTCAAAAACAAAGAGACAAGTCAGAGAGAGAGAGACAGGTCAGTACGATAGGTCAGAGAGAGAGACAGGTCAGAGAGAGAGAGAGGGACAGGTCAGTACAACAGGTCAAAAAGAAAGAGACAAGTCAGAGAGAGGGACAGGTCAATACGATAAGTCAGAGAGAGAGACAGAGGTCAGAGAGAGAGAGGGACAGGTCAGTACCAAAGGTTAGAGAGAGAGACAGATCAGTACGACAGGTCAAAGAGAAAGAGACAAGTCAGAGATAGACAAGTCAGTATGGCAGGTCAGAGAGAGAGAGAGACAGGTCAGTACCACAGGTTAGAGATAGACAGGTTAGAGAGAGACAGATCAGTACGACAAGTCAGAGAGAGTGAGAGAGAGAGTGAGACAGACAGGTCAGTACCACAGGATAGAGATAGAGACAGGTCAGAGAGAGAGAGAGAGAGAGACAGGTCAGTACCACAGGTTAGAGATAGACAGGTTAGAGAGAGACAGATCAGTACGACAGGTCAAAGAGAAAGAGACAAGTCAGAGAGAGAGAGAGAGATAGGTCAGTACGACAGGTCAGAGAGAGAGAGACAGGTCAGTACCACAGGTTAGAGAGAAAGAGACAGGTCAGAGAGAGGTAGAGACAGAGAGAGAGAGAGGTCAGTACCACAGGTTAGAGAGAGAGACAGGTCAGAGAGAGATAGAGACAGCTCAGTACCACAGTTTAGAGAGAGAGAGAGACATGTCAGTACGACAGGTCAGAGAGTGAGAGAGACAGGTCAGAGAGAGAGAAAGGCCAGTACCACAGGTCAGAGAGAGAGAGAAACGGGTCAGAGAGAGAGACACAGATCAGAGAGAGAAAGAGAGAGACGAGTCAGAGAGAGAGACGGATCAGAGACTAGAGTCTAGTTTCAGGAGGTGATAACAGGATTGTCTCATAAATCTGTTGATGATGATTCTGTGATGTTGTAGACATGGTGGTCATGTTGGTCCATCTTGTCGGCTCCTTGTCAACATCTCATCAACGTCTCATCAACATCTGTTTCATCTTGTTAACATCTTGTCAATGTCTCGTCAACTTCTCTTCAACATCTCCTCAACATCTCCTCAATGTGTCCTCAATGTTTGTTTCATCTCATTAACATCTCGTCAGTGTCTCGTCAACTTCTCATCAATGTCTCGTCAACGCCTCGTCTTGTTGATAAATATATTTTGTCACACTGTCTCTACCTCTGACCTTTCTCTATCTCTGACCTGTCTGTCTCTCTGCAGGTATCAGATTTCATTGAGTCTCTCCCCGGATGTGAGGAACAGGCGAAGCAGTTCAGAGATGAGGTGAGATGACCAATCAGCTGCTGTAGATTTGATGACATCACATTGAACCTGCTGTGATCTGATTGGTTTTTGTTTCTGTCTGCCTGCCTTTTAGCAAATTGATGGGCGAGCCCTCCTCCTTCTCACCCAGCGGGACATTGTGAGGATTATGTCAATCAAACTTGGTCCTGCCCTCAAGATTTACAACTCCATCCTGATGTTCAAACATGCCGAGGACAGTAGCCAATCAGACGCTGAGAATAGGAGCCAATTACATTCTGAGGACAGTAACCAATCACACACTGAGGACAGGAACAAATCAAACCTTGAGGACAGGAGCAAATCGCACGGTGAGGACACACGCCAATCACACGATGAGGACAGGAGCCAATCACACACTGAGGACAGGAGCCAATCACACGATGAGGATGGGAACCAATCACATGCTGAGGACAGGCATGAGTCACATGCCACTGACACCTGCAGCTCATGACTGAGACAATCCAGAAACACCTACTTGTAAACTCCACCCCCATGTCAGAAGCCCCTCCCCCAATCTAAGGGAATGTTTTCCATCCAATCATTAATCAAATTTAACTTTATGATGTCACAACAATGATCTCAGGTGTGTTTCTGTCTGCATGTAGAAGTCAGTCGTGATGTTCATCATGGAAAAAACTGAGAACTCCTGAGCTGATGAGCTGATGTTTTTCTGTGTTTGTCTTTCTTCAGATGTATTTTTATAAACTTCTTTATATTCACAAGTGACTCTTAATTCCTGTCAATAAAACGACACAAGTACATTAATAAAATGTCAGTGAAAGCAGGACGCATGGACAGATCCACATTCACCAAAGATTCTGCTTGTAATTATGAAAAATTCATAACTGCAAGAGAAGATTTTGTCAAATCAAAGAAGAATATTTCTTCTCATGATGTGAAAACACTGATAACATTTTGTAATTTCACCATTATGAAAAAGATCTTTGATTTCAAGATTTTCTAACCACTACAAACAAGAAAATTATGAGACATTCTATAACTGTGATGAAAAGTTTTAAAATGACATATTAAAAAAAAAAAGTAACAGTCTATTAATTTCCATAAAAAGTGTCAATTAAAAGCACACGAATATTTATACATAAAACATATAAGTGTCATGAATTCAGATGTGATAATTTCTCTTTGGTGAATATTCTGTGACTATCAAAGTTTGATTTTGTTTTTATGAATTTCTGTGAAATTACCACAGGATGACATCACACTGTGGCTCCGCCCCCACTGCAGTCTTTGAGGATTTAATATTTCAGACCTGTCAGGTGAACTCCCCTTCAGGTTTTAACCATAAACAGTGACGTGATAAGTCCCGCCCCTTCTGCTGTGGTTGTACATTAGTTTTATATTTATAATTTTATTCTTGTGTTCTGAAGAGTATCTATTGTTATCTACTGTATCTATAAAAGTCTATTTTAAAGTTAAATCAAAAATCTATATTTGTAGTTTACTCAGACAGTCTGACAGGAATTGGACACCTCCTCCTCTGGGATGTCACTGCAAGGGGCGGGGCATATGTTTCCCTCAGGTTTCCACGGTAACAGCTGATGAATTTAAGCCTCCAGATTGTTTTAATGTTTTCAACAACCTGCTGATATTTATATTTGCTTCTGTCAGTGTTTGATGAGATCAATAAAGTTTCTGATCTGATCAGTTATTGGTTCTTTTGTTAACCAGGTGAGTCACACAGGCCTTAATTGATTGACTGATTCCAATAGTTATTTAACATTAGTTATATAACATTTCACAATAATCAACAATCAGCAGTGGTTGAAACCACAAACACAACACCAACCCCCCCACTCCCACTACACACACACACACCGGCAAACAAAACCAAGTTTGAATATTTGAATATATTTTGATTTCCATTTAAACAATAATTAATAATAGTAATTAATAATACAGTGTATTTGCACCCAGTTGAAAAGTCTGTTCACCTGTTTACACCTGTGTGAAAATCCCACAGCTCCAACAACATGAAACCAACAGAAACATCAGACTGCATCATGTTTCCATTGTCTGATCTCTGACTTGATCTTTAATGACCTCATCATCTTCATCATTTAGTGTACTTCATTTACAGTACTTCAGTACAACCTGAGCAAAGTAAGTGAAGCTGTGTCAGTGAAATGCACCCTGGGAGATGTAGTTGAGTTTGTATTTCCTCACTCTTTTGTTCTGATGATTGAAGCAGGAAGGTTTTAACCATAAATGACTTTTACAGAGCAATCTCCCTATAATTTACCCATAATTCACAGCAGGTGAGTGTGAGTGAGGATGACGAAGAGTCTCTGATGATGAAGAGTTTCTGATGTTGGACGTATGGGCTCTCAGCAGGGACAAACTTCCTCAGTTTCTACAGACACTAATTGTTTAGATGCTGCTGAGCTGCTCTGCCTCTGTCTCCTAGCAACAGCAACATCCCAGAATCACCATCACTGCTGGTCCAGGATCAGAGGACAGAGGAGGTCTAAGACTGTCTTTACCGGATTACTGTACTGTCAGACAGACAGGTAGACAGTCAGACAGGTTCAGAGAGACAGACAGGAGAATAGTGAGACAGGATCAAACAGACAGGTAGTGTGAGGTGTTTTCAGCAGCGTCAGTGGGAGGGACCTGTCTCTCTCTCTGCCTGTCTGTCCTTCTTGTAGGAGGAGATTCATTTACTCCACATCACTGCAGAAACATAGAGGGGGTGAGAGAGGTTTAAACCGACAAAGAGAGACAGAGAGAGAGGAGGGAGGAGCAGAGGGGGGAGGGGAGGAGATTTAAACATCGGAGCAGCAGGAGGAGGAGGAGGAGGAGGAGGAGGACGATGAAGATGAGGAGAAAAGACAAGAAACATGAACCGACAGGAGCTCCAACTGTGAGAACAATACCTTCCATTCTGATGTACTGTTTTCTATTATGTTCTGTTGTGTTCTACTGTGTTCTCCTCTGCTCTGTTGTGTGTTGTGGTGCCATGGTCTCTGTGTGGTGTTATTGATCAGTATTGGTTTGTATTCTGCAGTACTGATCAATTTGCTCTGAACAGGATAACAACATTGATCAATACTGACAGATACTGATCAATACTGATGGTTAATGATCAATAGTATTGGCCTATGCTGACATTATTGATGATCAATACTGAACAGGATGGACAGCAGTGATTAGAACTGAAGTGTATTGATTAGTATGAAGCAGTAGTGATTGACTAAGTGAACAGTTTGGTGTTTGAGTATTGATTGTATTGTGTGTATGGATTAATAGATAGCAGTATTAATCAAGGATTGCTCAGTATTCTACATTAGTGATTGATAAACTCTCAGTATTGATCAGTGTTTGTCATACTTAAACGGACTGGTGGTATTGAACAGAAATGATCAATAACAAACTGTATTGATGAGTATTGCACAGCAAAGTGATCATTGTATGGATCAGTATTGATCAGTATTGATAGAGGAAGCAGAGATGAGAGTCTGGACAGACAGAACAGACTCAGAGTAGAATCCAGTCAGGCTCTGCTGTGTTGGAACTGCAGTGCATGATGGGGGATGTAGTTCCTGCAGTTCTGACTGGAAACACTGAACCAAGACAGAGGTCACCACTGTCTGTCAGAGGGGGAGCAGTCAATTGTGGCAGTTCATGTATTATGATGTGATGTTTCAGGACCTGGTTCTTGGGGATCTGGATCAAAATCTGACTCCTCCTGTTCCAGAACTTTTGACTTTATTGCAGAGTCTTCATCAGCAGATAATGGGAGTATTGGAAATGTCTGTCTCTCAACCTGTCTCTCTTACAGGAAGTTGGTGTATGAGTCCAGGTGAGGTGGCGTTGGGCTGGGCTTAGTCTGCTGAGCCACAGTGTGATTAGTGGGTGGTGATGATCGCGACTGGCGGCCTCCTGCGAATCAACGCCCGGCGACAAGACTCACTGAGGTCCAAACCTCAGAAACCACACACACACAAGAAGAAGAGCAAAAAGAGGTAACACACACATACACATACATGCGCGCATGCGCACACACACACACACACACACACGCACGCACACGCACACGCGCACGCGCACGCACACGCACACACACACACACCCACTTGCACACCCACACCCACAAAATGTAATGATGTACCATGTCAGTCTGAACTTACACGTTACACCCCCCCCCCCCCCCCCCCCCCAGAAGGAGTGAGGTGGTGGTGGTCAAGGGGAAGTTGAAGCTGTGCTCAGTCTCGGGTCTCGTGGCGGCGCTCGGTATCCTGGTCCTGCTCGTTGGTGTGGTCATGGCGGCTCTGGGCTACTGGCCTCGAGATGGACTGTTCTTCAGGTCTCAGCCACAGGAGGGCGCTGCGATGGCCTCAGTGTCATCCATCAGCTCCACACCTGCACCTGCTGGCACTCAGGTGAGCTCCAGACACAGACACCTTACAGAACAGAGGACTCAGATCTGTCAGACCATCAGGTGTGTGGCCAATCGGCAGTTAGTTATTTACCTGGGAAGGTGCACATGTAGAGCTCAACACAACAGAGCAGGGGGGCAGATGAGTGGACCACATTGGTTCATCACAGTGACATCATCATCATCATCATTGATGGCTGCTTCGCTGAATTCTGAATTTGATTGGTGAATGTCCATCTGTTTCCAGGGAGGAGAAAGGGGGGAGGAACGCCAAGGAGAAGAAGGAGATGACAGAGGGGGAGGAGACAAAGGAGGAGGAGGAGATGAAGAAGATGGAGGAGACGACAGAGGGGGAGGGGATGAAGGAGGAGGAGGAGGTGATGACATGTTTAACCACACAGAAACTCTCAACGAGACAACCAGACGACCTTCACGAGGATTTCTGGAGGATTTTCTGGACAGGTAAACTCTGTTACAATCTCATCTACACATGACAGTAAATTCAGCACAGTTCCTGTAGGAGGTTCTACTGGTTCTTAAGGTTCTTGTAACCGAGGGGCCCTGAAGTTCTGAAGTGTCATGAAAGAGGTTGTAGTGGTCTGTATTCCCTTGGTGGGATGTAATCGTCCTTCAGGAGTTCCTGTAGGTGGTTCTACTGGTTCTGTAGGTTCTTGTTTTAATTAAGGTAGTCCTAAATATCCTGTAGGAGATTACCATGATTATTGTGAGGTTCTACTAGCGAGAGAGACATAGTGGTCCTTTAGGTGGTTCTAGTGAGCCTAGGATGTCCTTGTGGTCCTTTAGGTGGTTCTTGTAGAAAGTGAGGTGGTCTTTTGGAGGTTGTAGTGAGGGTTCCATTAGCCTCTTGTAGCTGAAGTTGTTCTAAGAATCATTCAAGTTCTAGTGCTCATTTTGGTAGCTCTAGTGCTTTTTGAGAAGTTCTAGTTGTGTTCTTGGTGGGATCCTTAAGGAAGCTGTAGTGAACATCATTCAGCTAGTTTTTAGTGCATTATAGTGGCCCTTTAGGTGGTTCCAGTGGTATATCAAGTGATTCTAGTTGTATTGGCCTCATAGTACATTCGGCAATCCTAGGTTCTTGTGGTAATTGAAATGGTCTGCAGGAAAGTTCTAGTGGCCCTGATGATGTTCTAGTTGTTATGTTGGAGGTTCTGATGGTCTTTAAGAGGTTCTAGTAGTGTTTTGGGAGGTTTTAGAAGACCTATAGGAAGTTATCATGGTTCTTTTGGAGGTCATAGTGGCAGCAGTTACTTTTTTCTTTGTGTGCACAGATAATCTCTGATTGGCTGTATTAAATGTCTCTGCAGGTATCTGTACTCTGATAGGCTGAAGGTCTTTGGTCCTCTCATCATGGGCATTGGTATCTTCCTGTTCATCTGTGCAAACGCCGTCCTGCACGAGAACCGGGACAAGAAGACGAAGGTCATAAACCTGCGGGACATTTACTCCACTGTCATCGACCTCCACAGCCTCCGCAGACCCAACAGCTCCACCTCCTGCTCCGCCCGCCGCTCCTCAACCAATCCACTCAATGGCCTCGTTAACTACATCCAATCAAAGAGCCTGGAGTCTAAACCCAGGGTTTACCCCACCTCCCTGATGAATAGGAGGGAGGGAGGGAGGTGGGAGGAAGGAGGTGGGGTGTTGTCAAGACAACAGTTGCATGTCAGCAGCAGAGATGGAGGTGGGGGCAGTGATAGAGGAGGAGACACAGTATTCAGTATCTATCAGGAGCATCCAGATGTACCCCCTCCCCTTTCCTCCTCCACTTCCCACAGACTGTCCCTCCCCCCGAGCTTCAGCCCACCCCTCCTCTCCACCTGCTGGACCTCCCTGCAGAAGGAGGAGCTCAGCTCATTCACCTTACCCCTGCGCCGCCCCCGCCCTCCTGCCCCCCGCAGGAGGCACTCAGCTCGAGCTGGGATGGGCCGGAGCTGGAGGGACGGTGGGGGAGGAGAGGTGAAGGGGAGGGTCGGGGGAGGCAGCATACAGGAGGATTCATGTATGCCACATCCTCTGTGCTTCTCCAACCCGCCCCCACCTAGATCCTTCCAGGAGGTGACATCAGGAGGCTCCCAGGCCCTACTCCTCCTCTCCTCCTCCTCCCTCACCCACTCACACCTGTCTCTCTCCTCCCTGTCTCACCTCCTCTCCTCCTCATCCATGCCACCACCCCCCTGTAGGAGGCGGAGCCTGCCGACCGGCAGCGTCATCACAGGTTACAGCAAACTGACGCATGGAGAGGACGAATCATTTGAGTCGACTGAGATTACGTCATCACATGTGACATCACAGGCCAGCAGGCTGAGGTCAGAGGAAGTGACATCACAGAGGAAGTACTCGAACAGGGAGAAGCTGAGGATTATTTCACAGGTGGATTCTGGTCTAAGGCAGGAGGAGGAGGGATGAGGAAGTGGGATAACCAATCAGAACTGACTCAGTGAGTGACAGCACAACTCACAGGTCATATGACTTTTTAATGACATCAGCGTTACATCACAGATTCACTTTAAACTTGAAGGATGTTCAAAACAGTCACCGATGGTAAAGATCCTTTATTTAGACTGCGCTGATGAAGATGATGATGAAGACAGTGAGATGATGAAGATGATGATAAAAATGCTGCTGGACCACGGACATTACAGGAAGTCGTTGACATGTAGCAATAAGAGTCTTCCAGATGAATGAATGAATGACAGCACAACAGTAATGAACTGATTAATTCTTTTAATTTGCATTAATCAAATGATCACACAGACTGGAAATGTTTTTATATGGAATCATGACATGGATGGGGGGTGGGGGGCGTTAAAAGCAGTCTATAGACTATAAAATTTAGTAATAAAAAGTCCTTCACTTGACCTTTACCCCCCAAAACAAAGCAGTTGTTGAAGAGCTGAATTTATCAGTTTATCATTTGTAAATTTGAATGAAATCATGAAATTACTTTTGGAATGTAACTGTTAATATAATGTGATGGGGATGGGGGTGGGGGGGCTTCGTCTGAACAGCACAAAAACAAAAACCATCAGACGATTGAAAGACAGAGAGACAGTTTCACTCTGATCTGCTTCCTCTGTTTCATCAGTGAATCCCAATAAAGCACATTCACTTCTGTGTTGTTGTTGTTTCTTTGTCCAGTTTCCTCTGTTGTTGTAGCTTCACTATTTAGTTCAAAACTGATCTGAGAACAGGATTCTGTTCCATTAAGGCAGATAAAGGAAAGTCCTGATTGATTTAAGTCTCGCTAATGTAAGTCACAGTTCCGTTACATCACTGTGGTTTATAGGTTTCCCTCCTCAGTAACCATGCTAACTGATACAGCTGAACTAGCCTGTTAGCCGTAGCAGGCTGGCCGCAAACAGAATCCCAGAAGACAGTCAAAGAGTGTTTTGCACTCGCATCACTTTTTTCTTGTTCGTGTTCGGAAAATTGGGTCGACCCCCCCCTTTCATGTGCTAATAAGACAAAATAACAATAATTTTATTTTTTATAATGAATTCTTCAAGGTTAAGGTTAAGGATTCTGTGCACAACCAGCTCTGTTATAACTTAGGTTGTGTTTAACAGTGGGATTGATATACATGGGTCAACCCTGCATTTATATGCAATTATACAGGACAAATTGATATGAATATTTATGTAGATACAGTGTCATATTAATAATGTAGGCTATCAATCATATTTATGAATTATAAAATGAATAACTATCTTAACCTTCAGCCCCAAATCTAAGTGAATGGATGGAATATTAGCATGATCAATCTGCTGACTATTTCCTTGTTACCTATAATGGTTGTTGTATAATATAGGCTAACATAGACTATTATATAGGCTGCAGTTGGCAATATACTACTAATGACATACTTCTTCATTCTGATGGCCACAGTAAGAGAGAGGATGACATGCAGGAAGGACCATGAACCTGTAACATTGCAGTTATGAGTAAACTGATGATGTGTCCTCTGACAGGTGAGCTATCAAAGCGCTGTACCACTTCCCTCACATGAAGAAGGTGAGCACAGGTGTATTTTCTCACACAGTTACCGCTTACTGATAAGTATTATACAGGACGGTGACTCTAACACAGAGCTGCTCTGCGGCTCTTGTTTTCCTTCTTTCTGTGATGTCATCTTGTTTTCCACGATTGATTATTCTGGACTGCTTGTATAGTCTGTGCGTGCGCATGTTGTACGAGCCTGAAGTGAAAGTGGACGTTAATTCTGACCAGACTTTTTCAAGTAAGAGCAGATTACCTGAGCGACAATGATGGCACGGACCCCAGAGGCCTGTACTACAAAGCAAGTTCAATATACCCAGGATAACTTTTAGTTAACAGGCTTGACTGAACCTAACATTGGCCGTCCTGATAACCTGTACTATTAAACTGGTTATCTACTGGCTCAGTTAACCCTGGGTCTACCTGTCCAGATACAAGCACGTTCATGTGAAAGAGGTGGACTTGTTAATTATAAGCAACATCGTCTGAACCATGAATTAAGTTCTTGATATGATATGAGAAGAAACTCTGATACTTGCCGGTAAGTTCTGTTATAGCAACGTCCAACAGTGACATTCAACAAGGTGACATGTAAATAATATGATCACATGACTGGAATAAAAAAAATGTATTTCCATGTCTAAATATAATTTATATTAAATTCAGGCTAAAGATATATTGTAAATAAATGAATGAATTATCATTATGTTTGAGTATTTTCGCTCTTCAGTCTGGTGATGAACAAACTTATGAACATGTGATGCAGATATAACAGTTAATGTCAGACTGTTTCTGCTGCAGAGATGAGAGAAAGAAAAGAAGAGAGGAGTTGTTGATGTCTGATGAGTCAGTCTGACTAAAATGTTCATTTATAATCATGAAATAATTAACAGTGTGAGGCTAATTGTTCTAATCAAAGACATCAGAGGTCTAGTTTTTATTTCCAGTTGTGGTCACAGAGTCTCCTCATGTTGTTCTGAGCTGCAGTGATGAAGAGGAGAGTAAAAGCTTCATCACTGTCAGGAATCCTGTCGAATTAAAGAATATTTGATCAATTAAAATAAAGCTATAATACTTATTATATAGGCTATTTAGCCTAATAAACTTTCTGTGCATTGATTTAGAAGCTTTGTTTTAAAACCAGAGTGGACACATGGAAAGACTCAAACAGGAAAACTATTCCACATTTTTTTATATACAATATCTACTTCTCGTTATTATTGATCACTTTATTGTGACTCAGTTTTTCCAGGTATTTGATTGGTCAGTAGTGTGGCTGTTGACAGGTTGACACCTGCGCCGGAGCAGGTTAAGAGTTCAGCCTAAGTTACCATGGTGATTTATCTCGGTAACAAATGAACCACTGTTGTAGGACTGAAAACCCAGAGTTAAACCTGAAGTTACCTCGATAACCTCAAATCCTGCTTCATAGTACAGGCCTCAGGTGTTGTTGTTGTTGTTGTGGACTGTCAACAAACAAACAGCTGACTCAGTCAGGTCAACAGAACTCTTTTATTTTCACATATTCACTGTTTGTTTCAGATCTTCACAGAAAACACTGAGTTTACATTTGATGTCAGTCAGAAAACCTTCAAAAACAACAGGGTTCATTGTATTTCCTCTCCATCTATGATTTACCTCCAGTTTTCTGTCACCAGAAGGAAATGTGAACTAAGTGTAAGCCCCAGTCCCATGTACAAAACAAAAGTCCCAAAACCCACAATGGAAGCAAATGTTTTGGTGTTGTCAAGGTAATGTGATATAAGTGCTGTCCCATTCCTCTTTACACCACTCTGAGCCCTGCAGCCTCTCACACTCAATCACTCACCAAGTGACGTCAGTGAAGTCTGGGAGGATTCAAGGTTCAGGGGGGACGTTGGGATTGGGCCTTTGTGTGTATGTTATTCCAGTGTCATGTGATGACTTGAACAGCTGTTTCCACTTATCTTCATATGATTGGTCATTGTGTCGACACTGGGTTGATTGACAGCTCCCTGTATCCTACTGTAAGGGCATGATGTCTTGCACCTTGATCATTCCTACTGATTCAGTGAGTTAGCTCTGCTCATCTTCCACCTGTGCACAGGTCTAATATAGAGCTAACATAGATTTAATACAGAGCTAACATAGTTCTGATGTAGGACTAACATAGATCTAACATAGAGCTAACATAGATCTAATTTAGAACTAGAATAGATCTAATGTAGAACTAACATAGATCTGATGTAGAACTAACAGACCTAACGTAGAGCTAACATAGAGCTAACATAGATCTAATGTAGAACTAACTTAGATCTAACGTAGAACTAACATCTGATGTAAAAGATCTAATGTAGAACAAACATAGATCTGATGTAGGACTAACATAGATCTAATGTAGAACTAACAGTCTTATGTAGAACTAACATAGAGCTAACGTAGAGCTAGCCTAGAGCTAACATAGATCTAATGTAGAACATAGATCTAACGTAGAACTAACATAGATCTGATGTAGATCCAATCTAGAACTAACAGATCTAACATGGAACTAACATAGATCTGATGTAGAACTAACATAGATCTAATGTAGAACAAACAGATCTGATGTAGAACTAACAGATCTAATGTAGAACTAGCATAAATCTAATGTAGAGCTAACATTACATCTAATGTAGAACAGAGATCTGATGTAGAACTAACATAGATCTAATGTAGGACAAACATAGATCTGATGTAGAACTAACATAGATCTGATGTAGAGCTAATGTAGAGCTAACATGGATCTAATGGGGAACTAACATAGAACTCACATAGGTCTGATGTAGAGCTAACATAGATTTGATGTAGAACTAACATAGACCTAACGTAGAGCTAACATAGAACTAACGTAGAACTAACACAGATCTAATGTAGAACTAACACAGATCTGATGTAGAACTAAAATAGATCTAATGTAGAGCTAACATTAGTAGATGTAGAGCTAACATAGAGCTAACGTGGAACTTACATAGAACTAACATAGATCTGATGTAGAACTAACATAGATCTGATGTAGAGCTAACATAGATCTAATGTAGAGCTAACATAGAGCTAACGTGGAACTTACATAGAACTAACATAGATCTGATGTAGAGCTAACATAGATCTAATGTAGAGCTAACATGGATCTAACGTGGAACTAACATAGATCTGAGGCAAAGCTAACATAGGTCTGATGTAGAGCTAACATAGATCTGTTGCAGAACTTACATAGAACGAACATTGAACTAACATAGATCTGATATAGAGCTAATGTAGATCTAAAGTGAAGCTAACATAGATCTAACATAGAATGGACCCATAGACCTTATGCAGAAACAGGGTTCCCACATCTTCTTAAACATCAAATTCAAGGACTTTTCAGACTTTCCAGGCCAAATTCCCTCAAAATCAAGGACCCAACATGATGTAGTTGAGGCCAAGGTTAATTTTACAATGAGAAGTAGCAGGCTATACAGAAGCTTAAGAAACACAACTTTAAAGTACAGCTGATGTTAACACAGAGCTAGTCACAGCCAAAATAAACATAGTACTAAGATAAATACTCCTGTAAACATAAATGAAATCAGCTGTGGCACTCTTTGGTTTCTTCTATTGTCAATTCACACATCAGTCTTTATAGATGTCACTCCCTCTTTATTGAGTCCCCTAACATCAAGTCATGAAAAAGGTCCTGGAATACGCGTTCTTATAACATTAAGTAAATTTAGTTGTAGTCTAGTTTCAGTCCTTTCTTTATTTTGCAGGACTTTTTGGTCGAATTTTTTCCAGGACTTTTCCATGACCTGAAAACCACATTATATAATTCCAGGTTTTCCAGGAAGCGACATGTCCCTGCAGTTATTGATGATCAGTAATCAATTCTTAATATTACAATATTCCCATTACACTGTCCACTGTCCACGGAGATCAGTTTGGATTTCATTAGATAGTTGTTGTCAGCCTTAGCTCCGCCTCCCAGCTGCTCCTATTGGTCACCTAGCAAACAGGTAATGTTCCACTAATGTTCTCTCAATGAATCCTCCACAACCATCATCACTGATGTCCCTTTGTCCTTTACAATAACGTCTGGAGAATGTCTGGAGAACAATCCCTGAAGGCTCCCTGTGTAACATTTAGAGAACGCCGAAGGAAACACATGCTCTGCTCACTGTCAGGTGTGTGATGTTTCTGATCAGGAATGTGATGATCAATAAGGTCAGCGTCGTGTCCATTTGATCAGAGTCTCTGGTGATCGATACAGGAAGATCAGTTTGGCGTAAAGCTCCTCCTCCAACTCCAGCTCACCTGTCTCTCTCACCTGAAACAGAAATAGGCAATCAAATCACAGAATGCCAGCCAATCAGATTTAAGCATTAAAACTAATCAGATGATCAAAGTATTCCACTAATCTGATCATGAAGGTGATGGAGCTGTTACCAGGAAGATGTCTGTGCAGAGTTTGAGGATGCGGTCAACACACGGCAGCTCCTCAAACATGATGGAGTGACTGATCCCACTGAAGAACTCTCTGACAAACTTCCCTATGACCAGCACCACCGAGGCGTACAGTCCCATGATGCTGGGGGGGAAGGACAATACTTTATTTGTAATCTACTAATTGTTAGTCAAACTAATATCACTTCCTCTATGACCTTCATTCATGTTACTCACTACTGTAGTCATGGTTACTGCGGTGAGTATAATGTGATTGTACTCCTGTTACTGCAGTAGTTACTAGTAGTTATTACTTGGAGTACTCGAATTACTCGCAGTACTCGCAGATCTCATAGTACTCTAAGTACTCGCAAAACTTGCAGAACTCACAGAACTCGCAGTACTCACAGAACTCACAGTACTCGCAGTACTCACATTACTTGCAGTACTCACAGAACTTGCAGAACCCGCAGTAATCGCAGTACTTGCAGTACTTGCAGAACTTGTAGTACCTGGAGTACTCGCCAAACCCCAAGTACTTGCAGAACTCACATTACTCGCAGTGCTCGCAGAACCGCAAATACTAGCTGTACTAGTAGAACTTGCAGTACTTGGAGGTGATGATTACCCGTATCCAGCCAGGAAGCCCAGACTTGGAGGACTGACTTTATCACTGAACACAAACAGCTGAAGCCCTGCCTCCCTCCTGTCACTCAGGGAAGCTCCGACCTGCAGCAGGCTGGCAGCCGGTTGGTCGACGATCCACCACTCCTGGATCTCTCTGCTCTGATTGGTTGACCTTTCTAGAGCCAGCAGAATGTCCTTGTATTGGTCGTCTGATTGGACGAAAGGAGAGAGAACTGGACCATAAACAAATAAACAACAGTAAATATTCAGCCATGACTGAGACACACACATGAACGTGTTTCCATGACTGTGAATATTAAATCATATTCATATTGAACCTGTGTAAAGCTGTTCGATGGGTTTGGCGTTGGAGTCACTGGGAGCTCGGATGAAACATGGAAACACTTCCTGTATCACCCTGAAAAAAAACACACACAACTACACAACTACACACCTGCACACCACCCTCAGTTATTATGAGGAGTTGCATCAGTAGCATTGATATATCTAACAATACTACTTCATTTTACAATGTATATATTATATATATGTATGTATATATATATATATATATATATATATTATATATTTATTTTTGTTCTAAAATGTCAGATAGTGATTTAAATCATAGTTAACACACCTACTCTTACAAATATAATTATGTGTCTGTAATGTTGATTAACCATCCAATAGAGTCTGATGTTATTGTAAGTTTCCACCTATCTAAGGCTCAAAGCTAACATAGCTAGCCTAGCAGAGAGCAGCGAGAACAGTGGCGGACATGTTTTTGTAGTCTTTTAGTCTGTAGCCTGGAGCTCAGGCTACTCACCTTTCCTTTGGTCTCCACTAGCTGCTGGCTAATAACTGGGTTACAGTTCGCTTTAGAACCCAAGCCCCTTCCACCCCGGATAACTCCGGCCCCTGTACTCACACAGGAAGAGTCCTCGTCCCATTCAGCAGCTCAATCAGCTCTAGACGAGTCTGATTGTCCAGGTAGGTCACATGTTTACCCGATGCAAGCTCCGCCTTCGCCCCCAGACTTAGGTTCCTGTTTAAAAAAAACATTTTTAATTTGTTTAATTAACTGATGATTGATTGATTATTGATCAGTGAAGTCAAGCTGCTGAACTCTGGACAGACACTTCTGCTAATACTGTTAACACAACTATAGAAGCAGTAGCAGTACAGTAACTCCTAATAGGGACTTTAAGCAGCGACAGTTGAAGTGACACTACGGCGCCTATATACATCCCAACATGTTGCCGTAGTGATGGAAATCAAACATCGCCAACCAACATTTAACTCTAACAACAGTTACTTCACTACTTCAGGAAACCGAGGTCTCTCTGAATGTTGCTACATGTCTCTGAAAATGAGATGAGAGCTCTTGATATTTGCTTTAGAACTGACCTCAGCACCACAGACAGCATCATGGTTTCCTCAGTAACAGAGGATGGACATTAACAAAGGTTTGTCTGACATCTCCATGAATAAACTGGAAAATCATGGGGTTAGGGTTAGAACCCTAACCCCTAGGGTTAGAATCTACGTCAGCGTACCACACTGTATCATCCCTTCAACTGCCGCTGCTTAAAATCCCTAATACTACTACTATGACTGCACTTTCTAGTAATACTGCTATTTGTACTACTGTGGCAATTACTACTACTACTGTTGCTTCTGATTAGAGGTAATTTAGAAGTATCAATTAAAGTGATGATGATTGATTATTGATGAGGAGGATAAGTTGACCTCTGAACAGTCCAGGACACAGTGAGGGGGAAATGGTCCAGGTTGAGAACCTGACTCAGGTACTGCCTGCTGGGAGGACTGATGGTCCACAGAGAGTTACTGCTGCCCTGCAACTCTGCCACCGTCACATCCTCACGACTATATGCCTCCAGGAACTGCAAAGCACTCTGGGAAACACAGGCAACAGAGTTATTGCAAGAATTAATACAAGGAACTGTCTGTATAAGTACTGAAGAAAACTTACAGGTGTGTAGCTATAGGAGCTGATGAAGGAGCTGAAGTCTTCCTCAGTCAGATCTTTGAGCTGATTCTGCTGTGCACTCATCGTGAAGATGGGCTGTTAACATCAACATGTTATAGTACTGCTAATACTGCTAATGTTACTGCTAATACTGTCAAAAACATGTTGTAATACTGCTAATACTGCTAATACTACCTCTAATACTGTCAACAACAACGTATTTAAGTAGTGCTAATACTGCTAATGGTACTTCAACCATATTATTCCTACTTCTACTCTAACCAATATTACCACTGCTTCTGCTGCCACTGTCGAGGTGTCTGCAGCACAGGTGTGTTTACCTGGAAGCCTCCTAATGTGATGGTCAGAGAGACGTCAAGCGGTCGGTTAACTACTCCAGCGACAGATTTTATGAGCGACATGAAGAGCAGTGGAAACCAGACGATACAGATCAGTAACAGAACAATCAGACCACCCATCCCGTACTTCACAACCCGCTTCTTCTTCTGACCCCGGGGCTGAGGGTATCTCTGTGTACAAATACACACAAATACACACATTTAAATACACACACTTATTCTGACCCTGAGGCTGATGGGTACCTCTGTGTACAAATACACACACAATGACACGAATACACATAAACACATGGATGGACTCACACCTTCTCAGACTCCCTCCAGCACTTTAAGACGAAGCAGTGGGCGTAAACGTCCTCCACACAAATCCATGAGGACAGAGACAAGGTGGTGTCAGTCCACACCCAGTCCATCACTGCCCTTAGCTCTGTCAGGAAGGGAACCAGACGGAAACTACAAGAGGACAGGAAGATGGACAGGTAGAGAGACAGGCAGGTAGAGAGACAGACAGAGACAGTAACACAAGTAGGGAGCCAATAGTAATCTCTGGGAAAATTATTTGATTAAAATATCAATGAGTTTGGTACAGAGCTCATCTTCCTGTCTTGATGCTAAGCTAGGTTAACAGTTTCCCCCTGATTCCAGTCTTAGTGCTAAGCTACGCTAACAATTTCCCCCTGATTCCATCGTTAGTCCTAAGCTAAGCTAATAGTTTCCCCAGCTTCTAGTCTTAGTGCTAAGGTAGGCTAACAGCTTCCCCCTGCTTCTAGTCCTAGTGCTAAACTAGGCTAACAGTTTCCTCCTGATTCCAGTCTTAGCACTAAGCAAGGCTAACAGTTTCCCCATGCTTCCATACTTAGTGCTAAGCTAACAGTTGGACAGTTGTGTTTGTGTCAGTGTTGGACTCTGATGGTGACCCACCCCTGGAACAGGAAAAGGTTGAGATAGTTGTGGCTCTTTGTCAGGAAGTTTCCCAGAACACGTGTTGGGTAACCAGACCGAATCTGATAGGCCGACAGACCGAAGTATACACACTTCACAAAGTACCATAGCTGAGCCACCAGGTTCTGATTGAAACGCCTGGAGAAACAACACAGCTGTGTTAGTGTAATAGTGTGGGGTTTCAGACTGACTTATCCAAACTTAACATACCTTGACTCAGTTTGATTAACTCAATTTATGTTACCAAGCTATTTAAGATTAGGGGTCGACCAAAAGGTTTTTGTCAGGGCCAATTCTGATACTAATTAGTAATTAAAGACACTGATAACCGATATCTGAAACTGATAGACCAAGACAAAACTACAGCTACATAAAATGGACACCCACCGTGGTGTCTAAGTTTTTCTAATATTTTGTCCACCCCATTTATATCAATGAAAGTAGGTTCAATAACTGAACACCTCTCTGTATAATACAGCTCAACAGACTGTCCCTTGACACTCAGTTCTAATCTGTCTGTCTGTGTACACATCAGACTTCAGCCTGATAGGCTGTTATTCATGACATGTAACCAATCAGTTGGTGTTGTGGGTGGGACACTGCTCCAGACTACAGAGTGGTGACTACATAGACAGGCGGCTGAATCAGAGCCAAAGTAGAGCATTTTAAAATTTATTTATTTAATTAGCAATTGGTAAAACAAATAACATTTTCAATGATTGTAAAAATCCTGAATGTCAAACCCAATAATCTGCCAGGCCAATAACCCTATTTAAGATGCAGCTGACAGCAGATAAAGAGGTGTTTATAATATTAATGAATGACAGGTAAAGGTGAGTTACCTCTCTGTGACTGTCGGCAGTATAAAGAACATCCAGAAGTGAATCCCAAAAACCAGAATCACCTGGAATACCAACTTCCCCAAAACAGTCTTCCTCAAATACAGTGCCCTGTCTATCACCATGGTACCTGCAGACAGACAGACAGGCAGACAGGTAAACAGTAAACAGGTAAACTGAAAGGTAAACAATCAGACAGTTAGACAGACAGTTGGCGTACCAAACTGGATCAAGACCATCACCAAGAATGCTTCAGGAACTTGATCTTCTGAGAGGGAAGAAGTGATGTCAGCAGCTGCAGAGTGTTTCTAAAAATCATTAGAATAAAATAATAAGAGTCAGCAGATGTGAATAAAGTTTCAGCTCAGAGTGAAATGTAAACAACCAGGTCAGTAAATAAAACTTTACTCCAAAGGCCCAGAACCCGAACACGATAATGATGAAGTCGACTGTGTCTGCAAGGAACATGAGGACATAAACGTCGGTGACAGCGCTGTATTCTGGTTGGACGAGAGCTCTGAAGAACTGACATACTGGATGGTAAACAGACATACACCTGACAGAGAGAGGGATCTTTTGGTGAGTTGGTTTGTCAACAAAAAGAGTATTCACTGGTCAGTTAGCTTTAGTGTTAGCAAACCTGCTAACAGAGTACTTCTTGGCTCTGATGGAAAGTTCTCTGAGTTTCTCCAGGAGCAGATCAAACCTGCTGGGTTGCTGAGGTCTGGAACTCACACTGCCTGAACACACAAGAAGAAAACATCAACCTTACATTAATTTCTACAATAGTCTTTCACTTTTACCAAGCCCCTTTTCAAAGTGAGTAATGTCCTTTTATTAAGAAATGTTTTTTTGTGTGACTCAGTGGCTCAGTCTTTAACTTTAGAATATCCAGCATATTTCTAACAGAACAGTTTGTTTGAATGATCTAGGTTGCCCTAGATCACAGTGTGGTGTGCTCCAGGGCTCCCAACGTAGGCCACTATGATTTAGATATACGTATATAAATAATATATATATATATATATATATATATATATATATATAAATAAATAATATAAGACCACCCTGACTATGAGATGGCCCCTCACCTTTCAAACAGCTGTGTTATCAGACCGATTGGGAACTTTCCCTGATATAGTGTCGGCCCAGTGTTATAATGAACCCTACAGACCGGGACCAGAATCATCTGAGAACAAAGTCTTCTGACTCTTTATGATTCTTCAGTCCTGAACCTTTCATTCAGTGATGTTGTGTTAGGGTATGTTTGATTCTACCTGCAGGAGAGCGCAGCTGGGTGGAGCTGGAGCGTGTCCGTCTCCTGCCTCGTCGTCGCAGTGTATTGGCGGAGTCAGCCATGTCAATCGAGGTGGTACCGTCTGCGGAGTTGTCCTGGTTGTCGTTTTGTTGGAGCGTGTCAATCTCCGTGGTAACAGTCTGGTCCCAGAGTCCATGGCACTGCAGAGGAAGAGGAGGAAGGTGGAGTTAGCTGTTATATCATTTCTTTTCATACTTTGTTTTTTTTGTTTTCATTGTCAAAGACAAGTGATATAACCCCCTCCCCCTCCCACTATGTCCCACTAGACAGCAACAACTGAATTAGACAATATCACAACAGAGAAATATACACACCTAACACAAAATAAAATAATAAATATATCAATTAGTTAAATTAATAAATAAAAAATGGGGAAGATGACATCTCTAGATGTTTGTATGACATTGGTTTGAGTTCATGGTGTAGTCGAGAGTGAGTTAGACTTGTACAATTCAATTTCTCTGCCTTGCTCTGTCATGTACATCTGATCTTTTCAAGAAGCAGGCAATTCATTAACTCGCTCATCCAGTGAATATGAAAAGGCAGTTGAAGAGACTGAGGTGAAGTGATTAAGGTAAAATGCTTTACAAATAGAATCAAAAATAGGTGTTGCACAATTTAGTGTTTTGTACCTTGAGTGTGGCTCTGTGATAGAATAAAGTGAGCAGCTGCAGCAAGTCATACAGGACGTAGCCTTCCTTCTTCTCCACCCCCAGGATGTTTGGGGGATGGAACGGTTTGGATCGGTCCACCTCCAGCTTCTGGTTGAATGGAAAGAAACCAAACTGGAAGAAATACTTAATCACGATAGTAACCTGAGGAGACAGATATGTAGACAGACAGCTTAAACATCAATTGACCAGATGGATAAGTCTGTTATAAATAGTTATGAACTACAAATAGTTATAAATTAAAGTTAAATAAAAAGAGTGGTGTGAACCTCAGTGTAGATTATGGCCGTCATCCAGAATGTCTTACTGGGTCGAGGGACGGAGAGCGTTGCCCAGAGAAACACCAGAACAGGAAGAACCAATGTCAGACAGCTGGCCGACACCATGTGGTTCAACACAATTACCAGGTAACACACCGTTTCTGACCTGGGGGAGGCATGTTCATATGATCTCAGTGCTGAAAACCTGCTCCTTCTGAGTCTCCACACCAAACATTTTATCTCAGTCTGTTCAGCTGACGTTTAGTGATATTCACTCAGTGGCACAAAAGTATCGTCTGCATAGAGAGATAAAAGTGTTGTCTGCATATAGAGCTAAAAGTATAATCTGCATAGACAGATAAAAGTATCATCTGCATTGTAGAGGGGTTCATAGGTGTGGTTTAAATTATGCAGTGGAAAATTGTGGGTGTGCAGACTTTACCTAGCTGCGAGGATGTTATAGAGGGCGTAGCAGAGCTGGAGCAGCTGTGGCTGATTACCATAGAAATGGTCCGATTCCTCCAGCTCCTCGTCGTAGAAAGTCCTGAAACAGAGAAGTGTGAAGTGTGAACCATCAGCAGATGACATATGAGTGATCTCTGTGACTCCCCTCTCCTCACCTGTTCCTCAGCAGCTCGCTCGCTGTCAGCTCTTGAGTGCGAGACACTGGTGGACAGGAAGTGGAGGCTGAGTCAGACAGGAAGTTGCCTCTCTTCCCTGGAATCTGAACCAGCAGCCGCTTCCTGGATCCTGTTTCCGCCTTTGCCCTCCTTCTCCTCCTCCTCCTCCCCTGTTCATGCTCCCCTGTCTCCTCCTCCTGGAGGTCCAGCCCAAGAACGAGGCTGTAGGAGGGGGGTAGGAGGAGGTAGGAGGGGGAGGTGGGGGGAGAGGTGCTGGTGAAGGTGTGAGTTGGCTGTGTGTCAACAAGAAGTTGTTGGTTCGATTCTTCATCACTGTTCGACAGACAAAGACATATTTGACACCACAGACGGCTGAGCTAATGCCAAGCTAGCATCATGGCTCAACAAACTACTGACAGATAAAAGTAGCTGTTCACAAAAACACAGTTTAATGCTACATCACTTTGGTCTGCATGTAGGTAAACACTGGACTCCTTCAGTGTCAGTGGTTCAGGAGGTTTTTACCAGCAGCTGAATTATCCTCCAGAACAAACACACCAGGGGATTAAAACCAGTAAAACACTGAATGAAACAGTTTGATGTTTAAAGTCAGTGATTCACTGATGCTCTTCAGTGACACAGGACATCTTCAGCGGCTGGGAGCTGAGCTGTCTAATATTTAATATATTTCAGTTTGTTTCTCTAATAACTTAAGATCCAGACGTCCAATGACTAAATTCCTTCATCTGTTAAAAATATGCTTTAAACTGGATAAAGGTCATTGTTGAGCTTCTGTCGGACAAACACAACACTGACACGTGCACATAATGAACATGAAGTATCATATGTGTTTATGAAGTTATTATGTCGCTTCAGGAGGACCAACCTTTGTGTTCCACTGATCTTTTCTTCATCCGGGGCCGAAAACGAAGACGAAGATGAAGATTGGACTCTCTCCATCCTGGACAGTTTGGGTCGTGCTTTTTGGCTAGTTTTTGCAACCATGCATTCTGGGTAGTCTTCCACTGCTGGATCACCTTTTACTGGTACTGTCTCTGCTTCAACTCGTGAAGCTGGAGCATCTGCTGCCCCTGAGGTTTCATCTAGTACATGAGGACCATCTGGCCCCGATTCTGTATCAAGTGGATCTATTCCTGGAACAGTTTCTGGTTTTGTTTTACATGAACAACATCTTCCTAATATGTGTGTTTTGGTGTGTTCACAAGGATCGTCTCCTAATACTCTTTCAGTATGTGGATCTGTTGAATCATCCTCTCCTAAATGCGGCTCTGGTTGTGGTTTAATATGTGGATCTTCTGGACCTTTGTTTGATGACAGTGGGTCCTCTTCTGCTTTGTCATCTGTTGTTTGACCTCCTGCTTCTTCTTTGTCTGTACCAGGCCTTACTCCCTCTTCTTCCTCCTCCTCTCCTCTCATTGCTGAGGACTGCCCCTCTTCCTCATGGATACTGTAGTCCAGACCAAACTCTCTGGATGTTGTCATCATCTGTTCTTGGTAGTAAATGTTGATTGCCTCTCTGGTGGGCAAATTTCCCTGATCAAACAAAAACAAAAATAAACATGAAGCAGATCCTCCATCTTTATTGTAGTTCTAACACATGGCCCCAAGTAGGGAACTGTAGTCCTTAGTGTTTGGTTGTTTACCTGTTTGGCCTGCTGTGTTAGCATACAGCGCTCAATGCGGAGGACAGTGGAGATGTCAATGTGTTCTTGACACAAGCTGCTGAGCCAGGCAGTCAGAGAGTCCAGAAGAGCCGACAGCAGAACCCAACAGAACCGCAGTGTGTTGGAGAACCGATGCAATACAGTGTCTGAAACACACAACATCACAACATAGTTGTCCTCATTGTTCTCTGTTGACCAACACCTTTCAAAGGGACTGTTAAGGTGTTTGATTTGTTTCAGGGGGTGAAATCTGAGACCTCCTACCTGGATCCTCCTCTCTCTCCTCCTCTTCCTCTCTGTACTCCTCCATCTCTTCTGTCACTTCTATGACCCCAGCTGCTGAAGAGAGGGAGTCAGGTATCTAGTTGGTTCAGGCAACACTGACATGCAGACGACACACAACTCTACATTTGACTAACTCTGGAAAACATCAGTCTCACAAACATTCCTGGAGTTACAGAGAGAGGAGGCTGACATTCTTCATTATCTTCTACTGAAGGTGATTGATAGGTAGTCCTCACCTGTGGGCGGAGCTAGACTCTCAGCACAGAGGGGGCAGAGCATTCTCAAGGGTTTATTGATTTATTGATTTTTGTCTTTTTGTGGAAATATAAAAAAAAACGCCAGTTTCTATGATGGATTACGAAGGATGACAATCACAGATGAGGACTCATACGCTGCAGGACAGTTTTTAAAGTCCCTACATCAAATCTGTCAAAGAAATATTAATTAAATTAGACGAGTGGTTTTCCTGACCTGAGGGGTTAATAAAGACAACGAATGATGTTTGACTCACTGTTGTTCCTACTCAGCTGCTGTGATCTACTTGTATTTTCCATCACATATCACACTCTCTTTTTAAAACTTCATTCACCTCTGCTTCATGGTGCAAACCTACGTTTATGTCAGTATTTATGTCCCAGTGTCAGGCTGGTGCTAGCAGTAACATTGGATTTGATTATCAGTTCCATCATTGAGGCGAACAAGAAGACGTTAGAGGAGCAGTTAAACTCTCTCCTCTTTCAATTTCTATTTTCTCTCCACTTCACAGCTGAGCCTGATTTTACAGTTAATGTTACTCTGTGACTTCATCCCTCAGTCAGCGTCAGTCTGTCAGGGACAGACATCCACTGCTGTGGTCTAGCTCAGTAGGGGCCCCTACTGAGAGGCCCCTACTGAGTGTGGCCCCTGTAGTCACTCCACTTATAACCTCTGCAGGGTTGTCATTTTACAGATTCTTTGGATCTGTTCATATAAGACTGTGTTGTATGAATAAACTTCCTGTCTTCAGCAAAGAGACCTGTCCATGTTACTGTTTGATGCTGGTGTGAAACCTCCTCCTCACCTCCTCTCTTCTCCTCCTTCCTGCTCCTTCTTTCAGAGGACGTATTCTTCCACAGTTTCTCCTGGTTGTTGCGAGCTCTCATGGCTGTTCTGGAATCAGTGATCCAGGCGTGGTAGACAAACTGACATGCAAATAGACAGCAGAAATCAATCACTTCATCGGTTCTCTGATTGACTCTCATAAATGTACTAAAACGGAAACGTTCTCTTTCTGACAGTTTTACATGTGACAATTCATGAAGTCTTCTAACTGTGCTACAAAATTTGGAGTTCAGGTACACAGTCATGGAGATTCTCACCTGAAAGGCTGATTTGTCAGGAAGCTTCTCCTCTTTCTTCTCCTCTTCCTCCTTCTTCTCCTCCTCCTCCTCCTCCTCCTCACTGTCCGTCTCAAACAGGTAGTAGTCACCACTCCTCACCACTGGGGGCAGACAAACAGTTACTCAGAGAGACAAAATAATGAAAATGAACGGGTCTGACAGGTGAGAGTGGTGATGTCAGAGGTCATGTGACTTACTGGAGGCATGGTTTACCCAGGGTCTCCACCACTCCTGCTGCTGACCCTTCTTGCTTTCCTGACCTACAAAACAAAACATTAAAAAAGAAGAACCTCACATGATTCTTTGAATGACAGCTGTGTATCCCAGTCTGTTACTGTGACAACAGATGTTTGTTCACAGACCATCAGTGTGGAAGCTGTCTTGGGTCAAACTCAACATTTTCTCTTTTCCTCTGCGAAACTTCTGCTGTCGAGATTTGATCCTTTCCATCCTGAAGGAAATACAGAGAGGAAGTGACTCACAGGTCAGACTGATTCAGGTCTGGGTCAGTGTGTCAGGTTAGAACATAGTACAGATGTGTCCATTATCACCTGATCCAGGGTTTGACAGACAAAACATGATTAACTGATGCAGTGACTTGACGCCTGACGGTGGAGTCCAAGTCTTTTTCAAAACAGTTTTGTTTTGAACTTGAACCTGTCTCGTGGATGTCATGAGTCAGACTTGAGTTTGCCTCTCTGGTGTTGTGACTCAGACTTGTCTCAGTCTTAAACCTGTTTTGACTTGGAATAATCTTGGTGTTTTATTGTCTTGGTGTTTTGTTATCTTGGTGTTTTAGTGTCTTGGTTTTTTAGTGTCTTGGTATTTTAATGTCTTGGTATCTTGGTGTTTTGTTATCTTGGCGTTTTAGTGTGTTGGTGTTTTGGTATTTCAGTGTCTTGATGTTTTAGTGTCTTGGTGTTTTAGTGTCTTGGTATCTTGGTGTGTTGTTATCTTGGTGTTTTAGTGTCTTGGTATCTTGGTGTTTTGGTGTTTTAGTGTCTTGGTGTCTTTGTGTTTTGGTATCTTGATGGTTTGGTGTTTTGTCTCTACCTTGACTGTTCTGGGCTTTGAGCCTGTTTGGATCACTACTTGGATTTTCCTTGTCTACATTTTGACTCAGAGTCTCTGAGCTGCTGGACTTTGACTCATGGTAGTCTTGACTGTAGCCCTGTTTGTGTCTTACTGTCTCTTTAGCAGGTCCATGGAAGTCTTCTCCACTTCCAGTCTTGCTCTGACGGCTTTCACTGTGGATGCCTCGAAGAGTTCCGCCCCCCTGTGACACACATATTTACATCATGTCACTGTGTGTGTGTTAATGAGTGTTATCATACATGAGTGTTGTGAATGTGTACCTGGAGGCCAAGAGTTGAGTATTTTGCAGGTCCAGGACCACATACAGGAAGTAGTGACTCCTGAAGACCCTCCTCTGCAGCAACAGGAAACAGAAACAGACGCCGTCCCAGATGATCCCCGCCTCATCACTTGGCAACTCACACTGTTTACTGCTCTGCTGCTCCGCTGAGATCACCGAGAGACAGGTAGACAGAAAGATGGTTTGGATCATGCTCTCTGCACCTTACTGACTAAGACTCATCTTCAGTCCATTTTGACTTGGACTGCTCTTGGTCTTTGTGTTGAGACTCTGACTAGTCTCTGACTCGATTCTGACTCGTCTCTGACTTGACTCTGACTCGTCTCTGACTTGTTTCTGACTTGTTTCCGACTCACCTCAGACTCGATTCTGTCTCGTCTTTGACTCAATTCTGACTCATCTCTGACTTATCTCTGACTGACTTATCTCTGACTCATCTCTGACTCTCAATCCGTTTGACTCTGACTTTTGGTCTGGAGCCTGTAATTACTTAGATTCGTCTCTGACTCGACTCTGACTCTTGGGGTCCGTTTGACTCTGACTTGACTCAGTAGCCAGGGCGTTTTGACTCGGCTTCATCTCATTATTGAACCAGTTCTGACTCCAAGTTGTCTCCGTGTTGACTCAAATTTGATTTTGACATCCTGGTCTTGAGCCAGTTTTGACTCAAACTTGTCTCTGACTGTAGACAGGTACACATTTGATATCTCTACTGAACTGAACTAGTATTGACCTCAAGTTATCATTCAAATACTGATATAACTGTTGGCTAACAGTTACACAGACAGATGGAGAGACAGACAGGTAGACACACTTTACGTACGTTTGGTGTATCCTTTGATGGTGCAAGCCAGACTGAAAAGCTGAATAAGCCAACAGTGATTCAGCACCACTGATTTAATGAAACCACAGGCCAGGATCTGATAGACAGTCAGACAGGCAGGGAGACAGACAGGTAGGGAGACAGGTATTAAGAGAGACTCCACCATGTGACTAAATATATTAGTAAATACGAATGATTGTGTGATGATGATGATGATGATGATGATGATGGTGATGGTGCATCTCACCGACAGAATATTCTTCATGGTGATGACAAACACGTTGTAGCCAATCAGACAGTCCCAGTACACCAGGATGGATTTAACTGGTTTCAGGAGCAGTTCTCCGCCCACCAACAGGAAGTAGAAACAGGCCACCAGGTAACCCATACAGAAGATACTGATCCTGGACCAAATCACACCTGTGTTTGTTTATTCTGCACAAATCCCTGGGTACAATCTGAAATTATCCTCAGGTTTAATTACATATTTTGTGAACCTGAATTTTACAGTTAAACACAAATTTCTCTGGTTTAATCTCAAGAGTTTTTCAGGAGCGGTAAAACTTTACTTTTACTACTAAAAATTCTACAGGTAAGTGTGGCCCCACCCACTCACCTGGTGGTCCCAGTGATGAAGATGATGGTGAGGACAAACCAGAACATGTAGCTGAAGATAATAACCTTCATCATGTCCAGGTATGACCTGAACATATAAAGAGAGGTAAGAGAGACAGACAAGTGGACAGGTAGAAAGACAGACAGGTGTACCGCAGGCTGGGTTTACCTGCACAGCATGAAGTCAGGGACCGTGTTGAGACGGAGTTGTCCGATGAGATCAAAGATCTGTCCATCATCTCCTTCCAGCTCACTGTTGTCTCCTGCCAGGATCTGAACTGATGACTGAAGTTCCTCCTCAAACACCTGCAGCTGCAGTGACGCCCCAAGGAGGAGCAAGAAATCATCTGAAAGGTCAGGAAACACACAGCTGCACTACAGAAATATAATAAACATAAAGAATATGATACAGCTATGCACATGTATTTTTCAGCCTCCAGTTTTCACATAAAATCTAAATGTTTGTCCAAGAAATGTGGAATCGAGGGGTTAGGTCAGATAACCAATAGCTGGGTGATCTTACATATATATGTATATGTACATAATGATATTTCTGGTTTACAGAAATAAAATATATATATATACTCATTAAATTTATATTAAATACAAAACTTTCTGGTTTACAGAGTTTTTTGTGTAAAACCAAAGATATTTGGCTGATTTTCCAAATTTTTGCTCCTGATCCAAATTTTTCCAGGACTTGATTTTAAAGTCAAGTTTTAGATAAACAGAGTTTGAACTGTCACAGTCACAGGAAGCATCACATCCAGGGACACTAACAGCTTGTCCACAGAAAACAAAATCATCTTCTCAGTACAAATTCAACTCAAGTCAAGTTATTATCAGCTGCTCTCAAAACAGCAGCAGTGTGCTAACGTGTGCTATTTTTTTTGATGGCCCACTAGGCTTTATCTCAGTGGGCCCCCTAACCACTGAACCAGTCCCTTCACATCTACTGTGGTGTCTGTACTGAGAATACACAGCTAGCTTCTTAGCTGAAGAAGCTGTTACTGTACACTGTGTTACATGTCACTTCGTACCTGCTCAACCCAAGTTACACAACAACACCAGGTGTTCTGGCGCAGAGTGGGAATGAAAGAGGCCAATCCCAGATTTTTGGGTGAATCTCAAGGTTCACTGACATTCCTGAGAGTCCAACGTAAATAACATGTTATTTAGAATACACATTATGTTATCTGATGATGATGATGATGGTGCCTTACAGAGGAGGAAGAGTGGGTTTGGTGGCATCAGGTGATCAGGGAGGAAGAGCCATTTCACCACGTTGGAGTCCATGTTGGAGGACGGAGGTCTCCAGGGATAATCTGAAAATACATCCAATATTTTCAGGTTCTTCTAAATTTATCAGGTTCTGCAAGAAATGTGGGTTTAATTAAATGAATTAATTAAATGAACAAAAAAAAGTTTAACCTGACATTTTGTGATATGATCTCAAATTTTGGGGTTTGTGTCTAATTTTTAGGTTTGTTTTCAGTTTAACCCAAAAGGTTTGATCTTAATCTGCAATCGTGAAATCACTTTCATTGCTATTAGCTAGAATGAGTACAAAGACTGGAGGCAGGGGGAAACTGGTATCTTAGCTCCATCAAAATGGAAAACATCCACATTCTCGCACTTTCTTTATCTTTTCAGAATGAAAGCCTTGATGAGTATGGTAACGAGTTTTTTATTGTGGATTAAAAGATCCCAACATGTTGGCTTTAGGTGAGTTTGTACCTTTACAGGCAGCAGGAGGGAATCCTATGCACAGCAGGTACTGGAAAAACAACAACCCTGACAGGAAGTAGCAGTACTTGGGCCACACAGAGGCGATGCATTTCCTGCTGCGCCGTGACAGAACAGTGATGAGTCCAAAGGCGTGGCTTACAGCAAACAGATCCATGCGCTGACCAATAACATTCACGGCCAACAGGAAGCAGGTCTGAGGAGGAGTGTTGGAAAGTTTTTACTCAAGAAGGAGGTAGCTTGTTGCTATGCTAACGTGAATAGGTCTCACCTCCAGTCCAAATTTGTAGAAGAAGTAGTTGAGGAAGTATTTAACACAGCTTAGGACATTATCATCCAGGTGACGCCTGGTGATGTCATGAAACAGCGTTCTGGTGGGGGGCGGGACTTTATTACGGCGGAGATGGTAGAGCTCCTGGTGTCGGTAAACGGTCACCTCGAATGCTAACAGCGCTAACATCATCAGGTTATACTGCAAAGACAAAGACAAACCTGTCTCAAAGCACGATGCTAACAACGCTACAGCAGCCTGATTAAAATAGTGTCGTGAACCTCACACTTTAATTTCACCAAGAAACCTTGTTCAAACTTTAAACAACTATCTAAACTTGACCATACCACCTCAGTTTCATCAGACGTCTAACTCTGGTGCTTCTCTGTCACAGGAGATTTGTCCCGTCGACACTTCAACTCTCTTCAGCATCTGTTTCATCTGAAACTTTTCAGCTTTAAATATCCACTGATTATGATGTCACTTCTCACCCTCAGGTAGTCCAGCAGTTTTCCCTCTGTCTTACGAAGCCCCAACCACTGGGCGGGATCAACAGGACCAGAGTACAAAACAGAGCGAGACAGGTCGATGCTGGAGTTGTCTGGCTACAGAGAGACAGAACAGGTCAGAGACATATAGACAGTGGTACTGGCAGACAATTATGATGTTGTTGCCATGGTTACCATGGTGCAGTTGGAGGAGTATCTGATTGGTTGGACGACATTGAGCTGGTACAGCATCTTACAGACGGTCACCACACAGGTCCAAACTGTACAGACTCCTGACAGCAGGGGGCGCCAAGCCCTGCAGGGCAGAGCCACGCCCACACACAGCACAAACAGCAGGTTAAACACACACACCTGAAGAGAGAGAGACAGGTCAGAGAGAGGGACAGTGAGACAGGTCAGACAGTAAGACGGTGAGTCAGGTCAGACAGACGGACAGATGGTGAGACAGGTCAGACAGTAAGACAGACAAACAGTGAGACGGGTCAGACAATACGACTTGAGGCAAGTCAGACAGACAGACAGATGGTGAGACAGACAGACAGACGGTGAGGCAGGTCAGAGAGACAGACAGACAGAGGGGCAGGTCAGACAGTGAGACAGACAGACAGACAGACAGATAGTGGGACAGGCCAGACAGTAAGAGACAGTGGGGCAGGTCTGACAGTGAGACAGACAGCCAGACAGACAGACAGCCAGACAGACAGACAGACAGTGGGACAGGTCAGACAGTAAGACAGACAGATGGTGAGACAGGTCAGACAGTGACACAGATCAGACAAACAGACAGACAGTTAGACAGGTCAGACAGAAAGACAGTGAGACACGTCAGACAGTAAGACAGTGAGACACGTCAGACAGTGAGACAGATCAGACAAACAGACAGACAGTGAGACAGATCAGACAAACAGACAGACAGACAGTGAGGCAGGTCAGACATACAGGCAGACAGACAAATAGATCATCATACAGTAAACCCGCCCTAGAGACCAGATCAGACCCTAACCTCCTTCACGGAGACCCAGATAATGTAGGAGGAGACAATCTTGACGATGTGTAGTTCCAGGAGCCACCAGAGGAGGCGCTGCAGGCGCTGAAGGGAGAGGAGGAGGCGCAGGAACAACACAGAGAGACGATCCACCACTAACCTCCAGGACACCAGCACTGAGCAGGAGACAACAGGAGTCTGCTTCGTATTTCAATCTCAACCAGTCCGTCTCATGTGTGAAGATGCAATGTGTTTACCTGTTATGTGGTCAGACAGGGTTTCACTGTCAAATACACACGGGTACTGTTCCTCCTCCTCTTCCTCATTTATCCACTTGTCTTCTGTCTCGTCATCTTTCTCTGTTTGTCCTCCTCTCTTCTCCTCCTCCAGGAGGAACTGAGGGGCTCCGCCCACTGACAGGTCGACCAGGCTACCATCAGAGTGGACCAACCTGCAGAGAGAGAGATAGAGAGAGAGAGAGAGAGAGAGAGGTGAGGATGAGCAGGACAGTAAGGCCTCCTTCAGTTGTTGAGGGACACAACCCTTACTTACAGCTGGGGACTAGTTGAAGCAGAGGTCTGAGACTAGCTATAGTGGCCTGGGAAGGTCAGCTGCTGCCCAGCCAACTGAGAACTTGGATAGACAGTATTGGGGTATCTGGACACTGATTGGTCAGAAGGAAGTCAGACAACCTCTGGCCCGCAGGTAAATGTGTGTGTTACCTGGTGATGGTGCTGTTGTGCATGTCTACCACAGTCTTCAGGTCGGTCAGCTGCAGGAAAGGCTCATGGAAGTAATGCAAGTGAACGATACACACCTGCAGAACAAAGACAACAACATGCTCTGTTACCGTAGCAATGATAGAAACATCACATCTGTTATGGCGTCTACTGTTGGACTGTGTCTGAGTAAGCACCAGTAAAAATGCAGCAGGGATGAAGATCCTGGTGAAGAGAACAGGAACCGAGAACTTCTCTAAACCTACATCCTCCAACCTGAAAACACAGAGACAGATCAAAGACATTAGGGACAAACAAACTGGAGATATTAGAGAGTACTTGAATGTACCAGTGTGTACCTGAGTGTACCTGAGTGTGTACCTGTGTGTACCAGTGTGTAACTGTGTGTACCTGCGTGTACCAGTGAGTACCTGAGTGTCTATCAGTGAGTACCTGAGTGTGTAACTGTGTGTAACTGTGTGTACCAGTGAATACCTGTGTGTACCAGTGAGTACCAGTGAGTACCTGTGTGCACCAGTGTGTACATGAGTGTGTAACTGTGTGTACCTGTGTGTACCTGTTTGTACCAGTGAGTACCAGTGTGTACCAGTGTGTACCTGAGTGTGTAACCGCGTGTACCTGTGAGTACCTGTGTGTGCTGAGTCCAGTGTAGTAACTCCAGGTGTGGAGGGACGAGGGGAATTGGAAGGTGTAGACCAGGATCAAAACCAGCATTGAGTAAACCACCACAGCTACCCAGAAACCCCTGAGCAAGGTACGCCAGCGCTCATAGTTCAACTACAGAGACAGAGAGACAGGTAGAGACAGACAGATATATTTTGTAAATCCTCTTTTGTACTTTGTAGAACATTCTGACACCTTGTGATTTCAAATATCCAATCAGTGATCCAAACCAAACAGCAGCCCCATCCCCTGCCACAATTCCAACACAGGATTGGACAATCAACCTTGACTCTGAACCAGGTTTGACTGTAGTCCATATCTAAAGTCTACAGGTGTGATAGTACCAACAATACAGGTAGTACGAGTACATGCAGTATTAAATGGTGAAGAGCAATGCAGCAGAGATACAAGCAGTACATGCACTAATAGTACATCTAGTGCTTGTAGTACTTGCAGTAATGCCTGGTAGAGGGCGACACAGCAGAGGAACAAGCAGTAGTAGTACATGCAGCAATAGTACTTGCAGTACTTGAAGTATTACCTGGTACAGGGCGACGCAGCAGAGGAACATGACCATGTAGATGACTTTGTAGAGGACGATTTTTCCCTCGAAACTAACGAAGAAGAACATCGTTCCACAAACATAGATCCAGTATTTAACAAACATCCTGGTTACCATGGCAACCAGAGCCTCCATCTGAACTCCTCCTCCTCCTCCTCCCCCAAGGAGCAGCACCTCCTCATATGAGACCTCCTCCTCCTTCTTCTGCAGACCCTGATCTGTTCTCTGATCCTCTGGAGGACGGGAAACAGAATCAGACAGACAGGTGACCATCAGACAGACAGGTGACCATCAGATGGGTAGCCAGTCAGATGGACAGGTGATCAGTCAGACAGACAGGTGTCTTACCTTCCATGTGGACAGTGATGGTAGACAGCTGTGTGTCTGTCTGTCTGTCTTTCTTCTCAGTCAGTGCCTGACGCAGCAGGAGCCAGAAGGTCAAAAGACACAACAACTGCAACAACATAATCAGATTAAATATAATCAGATTAAACCATTTGATAGTCAGATTAAATACCCTGGTGATCAGATTATATTCTGTATTAAATGGATCATCAGATTAACAATACTAGTAGTGCAGTAGTAGTAGTAGTAGTAGTAGTAGTAGTAGTAACACTAGTAGTACAGTAGTAGTACAGTAGTAGTAGTAGTGCAGTAGTAGTAGTAGTAGTGCAGTAGAAGTAGTAATACTAGTATAGTAGTAGTAGTAGTAGTAGTACAGTAGTAGTACTGTAGAAGTAGTAGTAGTGCAGTAGTAGTAGTAGTAGTAGTACAGTAGTGGTAGTACAGTAGCACTAGTAGTACAGTACTACAGTAGAAGTAGTAGTAGTACAGTAGTAGTATAGTAGAAGTAGTAGTAGTACTGTAGTAGTAGTAGTAGTAGTAGTAGTAGTAGTAGTAGTAGTAGTAGTAGTACAGTAGAAGTAGTAGTAGTTGTAGTACTGTAGTAGTAGTAGTAGTAGTAGTACAGTAGAAGTAGTAGTAGTACTGTAGTAGTAGCAGTAGTAGTAGTAGTACAGTAGAAGTAGTAGTAGTTGTAGTACTGTAGTAGTAGTAGTAGTAGTACAGTAGTAGTATTAGTATTAATAGTACAGTAGTAGTAGTACCTTGGAGGCGAGCTCCCTGCAGGGGTCATCTTTTCTGGGAAACAGTCCGGGGACTTCCTGTATGGAGGGAAAGCTGTAGATATACTGCAGGATGACCAGCAGGTTGCCATAAGCAACCAGCCAGGGTGATGACATCAGCGTGTACTGGCGACGCTCTCGCATCATCCAGAGGACACACGACCACAGCAGCAAGACACATGTGAGCCAGGACACGTATGTGATGGACCAGGCCATCATGGAGATCAGAGCACAGATGTAACTCTGTTTGAGGAGGAAGCTGAAGGCCATGGAGGCAGCACTGACTCTGCCCTCCTCACCCCTCACCTCGTCCTCCTCTTCCCATCCATCTCCTTCAAAAACACAGGTCTCCAACGTGTCTGCAGCATTAGAGAGAAAGGTTCTCACTGAAGAACTAGCAACTAGAGTGAGGCGGCGGAACATTAATGACATCAAATGTCCAATCGTACATATATACTTTGATGTCACAACACTGACAGGTGGGCCAGTCTGCTTTGTTTTTGTGAGTTTTACTTAATCCTTTATTTTATTTTATTCTGTACCTGTTACATAAACTGAACTGAGCCTTAGTACACAGTACAGAGTACACAGTATAGTACATAATACACCACACTCAGGGACAATCAGTTTCTACCTGAGACATCAGCTCAGCTTCAACTCACCTGACTGTACCTGACTGTATCTGACTGTACTCGTCTGTACCTGACTGTATCTGACTGTACCTGTCTGTACCTGACGGTACCTGACTGTATCTGACTGTACTCATCTGTACCTGACTGTATCTGACTGTACCTGTCTGTACCTGACGGTACCTGGCTGTATCTGACTGTACCTGTCTGTACCTGACGGTATCTGACTGTACCTGTCTGTACCTGTCTGTACCTGATTGTATCTGACTGAACCTGACTGTATCTGACTCTATCTGACTGTACCTGTCTGTACCTGTCTGTACCTGATTGTATCTGACTGAACCTGACTGTATCTGACTCTACCTGCCTGTACCTGACTGTACCTGATTGTATCTGAATGTACCTTACTGTATCTGACTCTACCTGTCTGTACCTGACTGTACCTGTCTGTGCATGAAAAATCCTCCAGAGGAACCATCACTTCAAACAAAGAAAGGTCACATTCACTGACTGCCTCTGAAGTGACGCTGAGCAGAGAGTAAGCAGCTAGACACGAGCGGCTAGTCAACTGTAATGGAAGCCACCTGTCACTCAAAGAGGCCACACCCTCAATTATAACTTTAGTCCTTAATAAAATATAAACAGGTGAGTTATATAAACAGGTGTCATGAAGGACGAAATTATGTCTAGAGACCAAACAGGTTTTTGTACCAGGCTGTAAACATGTTTATTTCTGCTGTAAAGTTGGACATTTTAACATGGGAGTCTATGGGGACTGACTCACTGTTGGAGCCAGACTCTAGTGGTCATTAGAGGAACTGCAGGTTTGGTTACTTAAGTTTTGCCACTTGGCCTCTCCTCTGCTGGGATTCAAACCACTGACTCACCTGATTGGCTGACAGAGTAGTGAGGTATGGAGGAAACATCCCGTCCCAGGGCAGTGCTCTGTGTCGGTGGGACAAAAGAGTCTGAGGGGCTGTCATTGGTTGATGACAGCAGCACCTGATAAACAGAGACAGGTTTCCAGGTGACTACAGCTGTTTAAACTGAAACAAAACCTGGAGCAACAGCAACGAAATTCACAAAATCTGATTATTTATGAAATCACAATTAAAAACATGTATTCATGTAAAAATAATTCTGTACATCTCTGCACTCGGGTCGATCGTGAGCTCTCCTCCACAGCTCTCTCCGCCTGTCTGCTGTGATGTCAGCGCTGACCTCATCACTCAGGTTGGTGGTGGCAGTGATGATGTCACAGCTTGCTCTGACCGCTGACTCCACCCTCTCTATGGCCAGTTCCCCTTCACCATTGATCAGCTGAAGAAACACGTGAAACCCATCAGCCAGTCGGAGCTGAGGAACACTGACTCATCAGGACAACTATGTATATGCTATCATAACAGGTAAATCATGACATCATCCTCACCTGGTTCCTCCACAGACTGGCCACTGTGTGAAAGAGAAGGAGCAGCATCAGAGGACTGCTGAAGTGAAACCAGCTGAGCTCAGGGTTCACCTGCAGCCTCCAGGGGGTGCCACAGTCCACAGAGACTGCTGGCACCAGACCAAACACACTGCAGAAGAAACACCAATAATCCATAATCAATCATCAGACCTTTCCATGAGCACTGGGCACCATCCAGACTGCCGTCCAGACCGCCGTCCAGACCGCTGTCCAGACCGCCGCGCAGACCGCCGCGCAGACCGCCGCGCAGACCGCCGCGCAGACCGCCGCGCAGACCGCCGCGCAGACTGCCGTGCAGACCACTGCTTTATTAGTGCATTAAGTTTTGATTGTAAAAAAAATGGATTAACAGGTTGTGATTCACTCTGTGTGAACATCAACGACCATGAGTGTCGCCTGGTCGAAGAGTTACCTGATGGAGGTGTGTTACCTCGTGGATGTGTGTTACCTGGCAGATGTGCAGTTGGGAGGCCACGCCTCCTGTAGTGATGGCAGCTGGTAGCAGTAAAGGAGCAGGAAGTGGGAGGCAGAGTAAAGCAGTGACATCACAGACACACACCTGAAGAGGAGGGGTGGGACCTGACCAGACCATGCCCACCAGGTACACAACAACTGGAAACCGAGTAGGTAGAGGAGGGAGGAGAGAGAGGGGAACATGATACCTGGGGAGGAGAGGAGGAGGTGGGAGGAGGAGAGAGAGATTACCTTCCAATTACCTGTCTGAGAATCTCCACCTGAAGCTTGTCACCTGGCTGCAATGTTGTAAACTCATCACTGTTGGGTATGGTTACAGGTGTAACAGAGCACACCTGTTACCACACCTGTCAGTGAATCTGCTGGACGAGGGTTAAAGTGTGCTGTACAGGTACTGATGAACATGGGAGAGAGCTTTTGTACACCTGTGACCCTGAGAGTTCTGTTGTTGGGGGCAGCAGTTCCTGGTACGATCACCAAAGGCAGACTGGCCCAGGTGAGGGGTCAGTTTATGGGGGAGGAGCTCACCAGTGAAAACCTTGTGGGGTTGGGGTGGGGTCAGTCTAAAGGGACGACGACGACAACCAAAGCCCCCGGCAGATCTTTGGTTTCCTCTGGACGACCAGAGGAGGGCTCTGACCATATGTACCAATCAGGGCAGAGTCCTAGAGGGGAAACAGGTACATAGGTAAATTGTACCATTTACCAATATTCTGGATGTGAGGACATCTAAAAATTGTAGTTACAGAAAATGATTGGGTCACCCCGTCCTAATGTGGACACTTAAGACAGTCAAGATGAAGACAGGGTGAGGTTCTCCTGGATTAGGGACTGGGCTGGTTGTCTTGAGGGACTCATGGAGCAGCAGACAGGAGTTCAGTCCACTACCTGGACTGAGGGTTCAGAGGTCACCTAGGTGGTCACCAGGTGTGGGGAGATTCACTTGAGGACTCTGGACTGTCTGTGTCCAGTCCCAGTGGAACGGTTCAGGTTTGATAAAGTGGATGTGAGTGTTTCTGTCATTCAGCTGAGAGGAGACTGGTTCTACTGAACCTGATCTTGTTTGTGTTTAACAGTAAATCAAAGCTAAATAAGAAGCAATCAGTTTTCTACTGGTTGCTATTGGATTCTACTGGATTCTACTGCTTACCTGTGAGGCCCAGTAGAGTTGTCAGCAGGACTTTTCCTCCAGTCGTTGTCATGTTTCCCACCATCTGCCTGGTTTTACAAACCAGTGACTCCAGTTCAACCAGAACTCTGTTTCTGCTGCCTTCCTCCTCTCCCTTCACCTCATCTTCCTCCTCTTCCTCCCCTACGGGCACCAAGTCTCTCTCAAACAGCCCCTCCTCCTGATGCTCATCCTCATCCTGCTGAGGCTGGAAACAGGAGAAATGTTTAGATACCAGTTTAGTGCTGTCTGCTTGTCTGGTTTCACGTTAACAAACAGACTTCGACAGAACGAATAATAAACAGACTGAACATGAAACTTAATCATTATACACTGTGTGTGTGTGCGTGCATGTGTGTGTTTGTGTGTGTGTGTGTGTGTGTGTGTGTCCTGATGCAATCACATAATAAGGTTACAGTTAATAAATAGCTTACTGAGTTACACACTAATAGACAGTAAACCTTGTTAAGAAACAAGAGGAGACGACTTAACAAGGTTACACCTGCTTCATTAGTGTGTGTGTGTGTGTGTGTGTGTGTGTGTGTGTGTGTGTGTGCGCGCGTTACCTGTGTGTGTGTGTCACCGCTTGGTCTCACAATCAGCCTCCAGGTCAGCAGACCGACGAACAACACGCCGATATCCGGAAACACCTGTCTCACTACTGAGCCAACATCACTTCCTGTCAGACTGAGACAGACAGATGAACAGACAGACAGTATTTGAACCAGCATCAGAAACAGTTTTCAGATTTTTATCAGAATCTTTCTCATTTCGGGAAACACTTTACATTAATCTCCTGTATTGATCTGTATGATCAATAGCTGGTTCTTGGGTCTATCAATAAAACAGCTGGATATATAATATAAACATATATTTATACTGAACAGTGTCATAAAGCAATTATTACATGTTTATATAGAACAATGATCTGCAGCTCCTCCTGTCCTAATAAAACCAAACTAAACCACATAAACTCAAACATAAGAACCTTCTCAGTCTTTTCTCTACCATCTGTAGGTTTCTACCCTCATACACAAACAGCTCAGTGTGTTTCTTAATATTAGACCTGGGACAGACCAGATCTCGGGTCAGACCTCTGACTCATGACCTTGGTTTGATGATGACTTTTCTCTCAGATGTAAATATACGTTAAACTTCAGGAGTTGCAGACATTTGAGTTCTGATCCACAATCAGGAAACGAGGAGGCGACTGTGAACATGTGGCTTAACACAGTCTGTGTGTTACTGTGTGTGTTTTATTGTGTGTTACTGTGTGTGTGTTTATTGGTGTGTAGGTGTTTGCAGAGCCATGTAGTCCAGACAGAGAGACTACTGTCTGAACCTCCTGCTGCTTACACACACACACACACCACACACACACACACACACACACACACACACACACACACACACACACACACGGAGGATCAGATGTCAGCAAGGTCGTCGTGGTTCATCGTCGTTCTGCTCTGAAAGGACAGACTGCTACAACAACATGGCTCTTATTTTGGTAGTTTGTTCCCACTTCCTCTTTGTTATGTAAACACTATTGGCAGAGAATCAGACACTAAAATTCAACCTAGACTAAAAAACACTCAATCTTCTTCTCTTGTTAAAACCTGGGGCCTACATTACCCACAATGCACCTAATGATAGATTGAGGTGTGTTATTCTGGTTGGTGCTACAGAGATGAGGTCTGCTGAGCTCACTCACTTTTAACTTATCACTTTTCAGCTGACTCAGGTGACATCACCTGAGGACAGTACCTGAGTACTAAATACACGGATGTGGTACAAAACACACTGATATAGTACTAACAGTTCAGACACAGTTAGAGACACGCCTCCTACATGTATGAAATTATACACCAATGTTTGACTTTTACAGGAGCTGAGTCAGCAGCACACACACACACACACACACACACACACACACACACGGTAAACCACATGTCTGCAATCTGTTTGTCTTTGATGTGTCAATAAAGTTTAACTGGGAACAGACACAGTGTGTGTGTGTATGTGTGTGTGTGTGTGTGTGTGTGTGTGTGTGTGAGGTGTGTGTCTCACCTCTCTGTCTGTCTGTCCCACCTGTCTATCTCACCTATCTGTCTCACCTCTCTGTCTTACCTGTCTGTCTCCCCTGTATGTCTTTGTCATATGATGTCATTCTTACCTAACCAGGCCAAGCTGACCGAGAGCTCTCTGCCATGACGTACCTGCAGACAGACAGGTAGAGAGATAGACAGACACATGAATACACTGAGAGACAGACAGGTAAAATGTGGACACAGACAGACAAGTGAGCAGACAGACAGGAGAACAGACAGACAGGTGAACAGACAGACAGGTGAGCAGACAGACAGATGAACAGACAGAGAGGAGAACAGACAGACAACTGAGCAGACAGACAGGTGAGCAGACAGACAGGTGAACAGACAGACAGGAGAACAGACAGACAGGTGAACAGACAGACAGGTGAGCAGACAGATAGGTGAACAGACTGTGTGTCTTACAGTTGTACTCAGGCTGCAGTGTGGCAGTGGTCAGCTGGAAGAAGCACTGTAGTAACAGGAAGAGGAAACTGGAGACACACACTGCCATCACACAGCGACTCGTGTTACCTGTGAGACAGAGACCTGACTTTAATTTGAAAAACTGGTAGGAAGTGATTTTAAACAAAGCTGTTCCTCTGTGATCAAAGTTCATCATGTCGAAGTGTCCTTGGGCAAAATACTGAACCCCACATTGGCCCTGATGGCTGTTCCATCAGTGTGTGATTGTGATGTATGAATGTGTGAGGGAATGGGTGAATGTGACAAGTACTATAACGCGCTTTGAGCGGTCAGTAAGACTAGAAAAGCGTTAAGTGCAAGTCCATTTACCATTTAACATTTGAAAAACGAAAAGTCATCACTGAAACACAGTTTCCTTTATATACAGAAAAATTACACCCCCCCCCCCCCAGAAACAAAAGGGGAACACAGGAAGTGATGTCACACAATGACTCATCACATATTCTGTACAAATGGACCCCCAAGAGATGACCTCTCTATTCTCTCTGTTTCCTCAGGAAGATCCTACAGGAAACAACTAGCATCCTGTCATCACCTGAGACCATCGCACTGTGCTCCACTAACAGGAACAAAGAGGCTGGGTCTGGTCTCTTTCCTGGTATTAATGTGACATCATGACTAAATAACATGTAATTATCATGATGTCATCAGTGAAACAGCTGTCTAAAATCCAACAGCAGCTTGTGACGGATGTGAAACAGTGAGTGAAACATGAGCAGAAGTCTGAATGGTCACAGTCTGAGTCACATCTCCATATCACACTGAAATTATTACCTCCAACACATCATTTGTTCATCAGTCAACACTCGTTTATTTGTTTTTATACCAGTACTGAAAAAGTATTGTTACCTGTGGTGGAGGAGGGGTCAGGCAGTAGTATTGATCAGTTTTGATCAGTATTGTTACCTGTGGTGGAGGAGGGGTCAGGCAGCAGTGGCATCAGCAACAGCAGGACAACATAGACCAGAGAGAATCCATTATACCGCAACACACAGGCTGTGAACACATTAATCAATACATGAGTCAATCAATTATCAGAGGGATTCTTACAGAGAGATCAAACCTGGAAAATAATCAATATCCAATAACTGAAGTCTAAGACTAATTCAAAGCTTAAATTTGATCCAAAAATCAATCTGTGATCAGATTGTATTGATTTTAGATGACATCACTCGGCTGTAATCTCAATGTGAACTAAACTGCTTCTAATCTCACTATGACATTTATGTGATTTAATCTGATGTGAAGCTGCAGTAGCTTCACTGTTTGTGTTTTCTGTGGATTTAACTGGACTGTGTAAACACTGCAGACAGAAATACACAATCATAACCACACACACATCACCGCTGTCAGTAGAAAACCTTGTAACTCCAACATGTCGCAGCAGAACTATTGCCCCCTCCCCACTCCATTCCATCCTTTAGAGTCTTCAGTAGTTGTTGTGTGTTTGTGATGGTTTTTCTGGTCCTGCCCTTGAACTCTGGTCAGGATCCAGGATATTCCCTGTGGAGTTTCAGACCTCCAGTAGCTGTGAGGTTGTTTTTAATGAGTGGCTCCATGTTGTTTGTCTCATGCACGAGGACACATGAGCGCACATGGGTGATGGTTTCACATTATCACACTGATCTACAGGTGGAGGTGACACATGCAGAGAAGAGCTGCATTAAAAACATTAAAAAAAGTCACTGGACATTTTGTTGGAGACAAATTTAAATGTTTCCACAGAGCAAATTGAACAGCTGAACAAAAGTGATCACATGACTCGGACTCAGAAACTGAGTCACAGACGGCGACAGAAAAACTTCCCATCTGACAGATTCATAAACAGTGTGAAGATGAACGTCTTCCTTTGCACACACACACACACACACACACACACACACACACACACACACACACATGCTGTTTACAGCTAAGTGTGTGTGTAAGGTTGGGGGTGGGGGGTGGGGGGGCAGTCAGGAAGAGTGCACACCCCTGTTCAACCTCCCCTCCCCCAACACACACAGATTGGTTCCACTTTCTCAGGTAACAACATCTGGCTGTGTGTGTGTGTGTGTGTGTGTGTGTGTGTGTGTGTGTGTGTGTGTGTGTGTGTGTGGTTAGCAGTGTGTCAACACACACACCTCCCCCTCTCTCTGGAATGTGAGGCACTTTAAAGGGAAATTCCACCTAAAAACTGAATTTAAGGCTCCACACTGCTCCGTCCTGTAACATGCTGAAGAGTTTTGTAAGATTGTTAAGAAGACAATCATCAGAAGCCATTATGTTGAATGAGAAATGCTAACAATGATAACAATGCTATCCTAATTTGAGGACATTATTTAAACTTTGTTTAACTAATTGGTGCTGCACAGAAACAACATCAACCATCAGTTTGTAATTCCTGTGGCAGCGCTACAAGCTATTCATATAATTATCCAGTCAGCCAATCACGTGGCAGCAGATCGAGGTGAGGAGCTTCAGGTAATGAGGAAACATGTTGGTGTCAGAAGCTGGTTTGATTCTGAAACTGCTGATCTCAACAATCTCTAGAGTTTTTATTCAGAATGGAGCAACAACAAAAGCATCCAGTGAGCAGCAGCTCTGTGTTGATGAGAGGTCAGAGGTCAGAGGAGAATGTACAGAAAGGCAGCGGCCACTCAGACATCCACTCTATCCAGTAGAACACCTCTGGGATGTGGTAGAACAGGAGATTGACAGAGATGATGATGATGGTGATAATGATGGTGATGATGGTGATGATGGTGATGATGATGATGATGATGATGGTGATTATGATGATGATGATGGTGATAATGATGATGATGATGATGATGATGATGATGATGATGATGGTGATGATGATTATGATGATGGTGATTATGATGATGATAATGATGGTGATAATGATGATGATGATGATGGTGATGATGGTGATTATGATGATGATGATTATGATGATGGTGATGATGAAGATGATGATGATGATGATGATGATGATGATGGTGATAATGATGATGGTGATGACGGTGATGGTGATGATGATGATTATGATGATGATTATGATTATGATGATGGTGATAATGATGATGGTGATGATGTTGATGGTGATGATGATGTTGATGATGGTGATGATGGTGATGATGATGTTGATGATGATGGTGATTCCAGTTGCAGTATTGACACAGATAACTGGGAGGTTTGGAAACAGACTCCAGCAGCTCAGACCACTTTTCACTAAAACATGTGGTAAGAATTGTTTTTCTTATTTTTTTTAACTATTCCTTAATTATTTTTAGTTTTTATTTTACAAACATGTAAATAAACATTTTGCTCAGGATCCTTCAAGTGTTTTTGAAGAAGGAAATGAAACTGATGTGAACCAAAAACAGGGCTGGAGCTCTGAGCAGGCTCCTCCTACAGGAATCTGGTCGTCAAGGAGATTCAGCTCACCTGGTCTGGTCTGGTGGAGTCCTGCTCTCCTCTGGCTTCCACACATTCTTGTGTTTTGTTTGTCAGTGTATTAATCTTCTTCTCAGTTGTGTGAAGTGGACTGACTGCTGTCCAGCCTTGAGCGGGGTGTGTTGGAATGTTGGAGGTAACAAACAGGATGGTACGTCTATTTATATTATTTGGTCTACACAGTGTTTGTATGTTACATAACATACATACATAAACTTTAATACTGAGGACTGGATTGATATTTTGAAACTGAAATCATCTTTGTCAAACTCTGAATATTAATGAGTCCGAGGCTGTTTTTCTTATGAGGGTCAAACTGGGTGAAATGTGCTGAAGTATCTGAGCAGCATCATGATCAGAGCCATTGTAGTTTCACCACAGCAGAGCCACATAAATGTAGATACAACAGAGCAGCTGTTATATGTTTGTGACACGATCCAGAACTGATGGAAATCCTTGTCTGATCAACTGAAGCCCAGATCCATGAATATAGATTTATTCTCTTTAAATCAGTCAGGAGTCATCATGAAGAACAAGCTGATGAATCTATAGTGAACAACATCATCAGGATCAGAGTAACTGTAACTGTAGTACTGTCAGTGTCATTGTAGTACAGGATCAGAGTAACTGTAGTACTGTCACTGTAGTACTGTCAGTGTCACTGTAGTACAGAATCAGAGTAACTATAGTATTGGATCAGAGACTGTAGTACTGTCACTGTAGTACTGTCAGTGTCACTGTAGTACAGGATCAGAGTAACTAACTGTAGTACTGTCACTGCAGTACTGTCAGTGTCACTGCAGTACAGGATCACAGTAACTGTAACTGCAGTACTGTAACTGTAGTACTGTAAATTCAGTACTGTCACTGTAGTACTTTAACTGTAGTATTGGACCAGAGTAAATAACTGTAGTGCTGTAACTGTAGTACCGGATCACAGACTGCAGCACCGAATCAGTTCTTCCTCCGTCACTGCTGACCCAAATCAACTCCAGAATCGTGAACTATAGAAAACTGAACTTACCTGCAGTCAGACTGAGGGGCAGCAGAACCCTGAAGACCAGACCCACAGCCAGCTCTGAGGACATCCTGAACCTGGCTCAGTCCACCACGAATCCACTGTTTTAATCCGTATTTACACATCCAGATCTAAATCCAGTCCCGGTTCTGGTTCTGATTCACCACGAGCAGCAGCCCCGGGCTGTCAGAGCACTGTGTGCCCACCGTGGGAGCCGCAGGTCCGGCTAAGGGCGGCGACACACCCCGGTGACATCCTCCGTCCTCCGGGACTCAGACAGACACAGACAGACAGGTAGACAGACAGACAGATGCTGAGTGTCTCACTGCCTCTTGAAACACAGATGGAAGATTTAAATAAGTTATCTGTCTGTCTCTCTGTCCCCCTGTCTGTCTCTCTGTGTGGAGTAAAATACAGAAATCCCCAAAACAGAAAAACTTTGTTTCCTCTCCACAAACTTCTTCGTCTGTTTTTCTGCAGGGAAAAACCAAACAGAGCTGGAGGATCTTTAACAACTTCTTTCTTTCTTTCTTTCTTTCTTTCTTTCTTTCTTTCTTTCTTCTCTTCTCTCCGGTCTGTCTCTCGTTGAAAAACACCGACGCTCTGAGACACTTAGGCACTTTGACACGGGATCAGACCAATAGAAGCGGTTCAATCTGTTTTTAGGCCCTGCGTAACGAATGTCTGACAGCTTTCTCAGCCAATCATAGGGCAGGATGAGGATTAAATCATTTTAAATTAGAACCAGACCACGCCCCCACCAATAATCAACAATAATAATCAATAGATCGATGAATGTCTGTTTTTTTTTTTTGTTTTATTTTGCTTGTTTGTTAGCAGGATTGTGCACTAGTTCTGAACTGATTTACTCCACCCTTAATGGAGGGATGGGTCATTGTCCAGATTGTGGTGAGATCCCTTTCCTTCATGTTATGAAAACATTTTTCAACAGGAAATAAAGTTAGATGATTATTTAATATCAAAGTGTAGGATGGTGTAGGTGGAGGGATATGCTGGACTGTGATCTGTTCTACTTCTCTGGGTGTTTGTCTCCCTCTGCTGGTTTAAACCTCACACATTGGATAAAGAGTCAGTCTGAAGTAGATATTGTCTGAACTTCAGGTATGTATGAATCAAAACAAATAAAGTCATGAGCCTCAGTGAGGAACAAAGACGAACATGTGACCATCACAAACTTGAATATCTACAGCTCATTCATGATTCTCACACGAGAAAACATCACAAGATAAATTTGACTTATTTTAGACTTTAGACACACATTGTAAATCTGTACACTATCAACATATTTACTCATTAGCCTTCGAGCTAACAAGCGAACTGAAGAACTATAAGACTCGGAGGAATAAAATATAATCAACAAATAAATGGTATATTAATACAGATGAAGTCCATTAAAATCAGCTCCACCTTTACAAGCTGCAACATTAATGTGGTGAACCTTTTAATGAATCAATAATTATGATCTGTTGTCTGTAAAAAAGATTTCTGGTTTGATTGACAGGAAGTGCAGAAGCAGCTGAGCAATGAGCAACAAGAGAAAATCAAGTGAAATTAGAAATGGATCAGAAAATCACATGTTGCTGCTTCAATATCTCTTGTCTCCTGCAGATCACACAACTCAGCAGATCCTGAACAAACCCAAAGTCCAGCGTATAAGGGCTGAGTGAACGAGGTCTGGACTCTGTGGAGGTTGGTCATGATTTCAGAGATGCTGTAGAAATACAGAACACCTGCCCTGTGATCCAGGTTCACTCCAATCCTGCAGGACTGAGGGCCTGAGAGGGAAATGTCACTTCCTGTTCTTCTGATGCTCTTGTATGTGACAGCCACTGAAACAGTCCCTGTCCACTTCACCTCCCAGTAACATGCTCCAGTCAGACTCTCTGTACTCAGAACCCGAGGATGCCCAGTGAACTGGTCTGGATTGTGAGGAAATGAAGAACCCATATCTGTGACCTTTCTCCTCCCCTTAGATAACAACAGCTTTGAGTTCACTGTGTTTGGATCCAGTGTGATCTGACATGAGTTCTGTAAGAACTCAGCTCTGGTCTTGGGCTCTGCTGGTGGCAGTAAAACATTAGTTTGTAACTTTAGTTACAGTCAATGGGATCTTGGTCCATTTGTCACTAAGAAGGTCCTGTAGTTTATCTTTGAGCTCTGACACAGCCGCTGTCACGTCCTCAAAGTACCTCAGAGGACAGATATGGATGCTGGGTGAGTCTGTGGATCCACTGAGTGGTGACAGTGAGTGGTAACTCTGTAGAAACTGAATGTGATCCTCAGTGCGTGAGAGCTGCTCCAGCTCAGCCTCTCCTCCTCAGCTCAGTGATCTCCTGCTGCAGCTTCTCCTCCAGCTCTTTGACTTGACTCACTTCCATTTTCTGCTGCGATCTGATTAGCTGCTCAGAGCTTCTATTTTCAACAAGTCGGACCAGCTGGGCGAAGATCGTCTTGCTCTCCCTCACTGCTTCATCAGCTGAGCGACTGATTCTCTGTTAGATGCTCAGCTCTCTCTGTCTCTTTGTGTCATGGCCTTTATGTAGAGATGAAAGATCATAACATGTCCCGTTATAATGGTCTATGTACTCATCTCTCGGTCTGTATCTAGCTGGACGGCTTCTTGTTGTAACCAGAAAAAGATGGTTAGATTTACAACTACTGATCTACATGGCAGGAGGGTTTTCCTTTCTCCTATGGACTTTTACTTTGAAAGTCCCAGGATGTGGGCATGTCCATGTAATTCTAGTTTTACAAACCCGTAGCTGCTCTCAAGTGTTGACTTGCTGACAGTTAGAAACCTTTGGCCCAGACCAGTGTCCTGTGGCACCACCTTTCATTATTGGTGTGGATCTGGTTTTTGCATGTAGACTGGGACTGGGACTGAGCCAGATGCAAAACAGGATTTGTTTGTAGTCATTCCCACATCTCCCTTGATTGTGCTGACTGACTGAGGTACAAGTGACACCCCCCTCTCCTTAGTGTACACAGCTTGTATATACACCTATTATATATTACCTGCTGTACCTGCAATGCACCCCCCACGTTAATGTGTTCAGATGTGACTCTGAGAAGAGTCTCTGAGTCTGTGAGACTTTGTGCTGCTGAAGGTCCAGGTCTGTTACAGACCAGGTTTATTTCACCAGGGTTAAAATGTGGTCCAGAACCAATCTCCCCAACTCCCATCCCCCCACCCCACTGATGTTCATCTTGTCTGCGTTTACACTGGGGACTACAAATCCCAGAGTCCTCTGTCGGGAGACCATGATGACTGAGTAAATCCAAAACAGCTGTATGCCCCACCCCCCAGCCCAAGATTGAAGTGTAGGGGGGGGGTTGTTAATCTGTGTAGGCGGGGTCTGATGTGTCAGAGTAAAAACCAATAATCCATCCAAACAACAGACCGTACGAGAGAGAGAGAGAGAGAGAAAAAATCCCAAAAGAAATATTTTAAAGCAGTTTAACTGTCATCATCCTTCATCATCTTCATCTTCATCACTAAGCTGTGTGAATACCTGCACAGGTAAAGCACTTGTTCATATTTAATATACGTTGCGAGCTTTATGTGTGTGATCCAGTGATGTCGCTGTTTCATGTCGTCTGATCTGTTCTCCATCATCATCATCATCATATTAGATGTTTTGTGTTAGTTCATATTTCTACAGTAACTCTTTTTAACAGCCAGTGTTTTACAGTGTTAACCAGAAAGTATTGTATCTGGTTTTTACTGGTTTTTAGCTGTAGGGATGAAACATGAATCCTGGGTTTGTACATGATGCAGTGGTGAGGACACTGAGTTCCCCTCGTTCATACAGTCATGTTAATTATATATTAATATTCTATTAATATTCTATATTGGTATTATAGTAATATATTAACTGAGATTAATCTAAGATCAGTCAACAGTCTGTAAGATCTTGTTTTTACAGGTAGAAACAGGTTGTGAACACAGGTGTTCCCCAGAGTCCTCACTGTAAATCAGAGGCTGGATAAAAAGTGTTTCTGCTCCTTTATCTGACCAGATCATTTATGAAATATAATTTAAATGAACCACTCCAAAATTAATGCATCAGTAATAATCCGTCAACTGTGGGAGCAGCTGAGTCAAAACTACATTTAAATCAAAACTGTATTTAATATTTTGTCTTGTTTATATTTATGAATACCACGTGAGTGTTAACCTTCATTAAGATAATTATTAATTCACATGAAGATAATCTGTTTTAAACTTGTTTCTCTATTAGCTGCTTTAAATAATGAAACTGAAATTGTCACAAAATAAATTAACATGTTTTTTTCTTCTTTTTCTCTTCTCTTGCCTGAATGAATCACTTCTTTTCTAATTTGCTGGTGAGTAACACTCTTTGATTCAGAAATAAGTCCCTCTTTTCAACCTTTGACTTGCTATAGACTTATAATAACAATAATGAAAACTACATCAATGAAAGTTAAAAGTGTAATTCTTTAAATATGTAACAATTTTAAAGAAAATGATAAGTACCTTTTTATCCTGGAGTTATTCAACATTAACAACACAAATCAAACAGGAGCCGTTTTTAAAACACATTCAGATTATATATATATACATTACTGTCAGTTTTTCACTATTCCTACTCCTTCTGTGTTGTTCATTGCCATGTTTTATTATTATGTAAATCCTATTATTGATGACACGTATATTTAATGACTTAATCTAAAAATAACTTTACTGAGGATACACTGGTATATAATATGATAATAATCATTAAAAATCAATAACCAATAATAAATACTGTCAGAGCCTTTAATATTAAAACAGAAACAATCTAAGTTTAACACAAACAACCAGAAACAAATACGAAGGTGATCTTTAAATACATAGCTGGCTCCGCATCGTGCGTCATGACGTCACCGCCCCGCCGCCGTGCGGTAGAGCGAGTTGACGTAGTAAAAAAAAAAAAAAAAAAAAAAAAAAAAAGAAAAAAAAAGCGAGCGTCCGTTACCGGGAGGAAGAGGGCGAGCGTCCTGCACGAGGACAGGTAAAGATGCTGGTTTGATTTACAGAGGAGGAAAGGTTATTGATCACTTATCAGCTGTTTATCAATTTGTTATCGACCATTAGAGAGAGAGAGAGAGAGAAAGAGAGAGAGAGAGAGATAATCATTTCTGCTTCATCACACTGCAGCTTTGTGTGTGTGTGTGTGTGTGTGTGTGTGTGTGTGTGTGTGTGTGTGTGTGTGTGTGTGCGCGCGCGCGTGTGTTTTGCAGCGGGGTGTTTCCTCCTGCAGGACGACAAAGAGTCAAACACACCGGGACACTCCCGCAGCGACTCACTGATCATCGTCATGTCTCTGCAGTGTCTCTTTAAATGTGTGTTTCCTGCTGACCGTTACATTTAGATTTGATGTGAGTTCTTCAAAATAAAGGTAGAATTCATTGTGAGAACAAATGAGAAGTATGAACGTCAAGGTGTTTAATTTAAAAAGTAAAGAGATCTGATAATAGTGATAAATACAGAACAGCTGACAAGAAACAAAATAAACTTTATTGATATCTGTTCCAGACACACAGAGAGAAATCAGAAAACACAAAGAGATAAATAAAAATAACAGATTAGACTGAGTCAAAGTCCTGATCCCTGAACAGGAACGAAACCACTCAATCTGGACTGAACCACGGGGGAGGGACAGAATTGATAATATCACATTATAATATGAAAGGCATATTATAGTCCTGCCCCCCCCCCCCCCCCCCCCCCAGGTAGATCTGGTCTACGCCTCTGACCCACATCAACGTCATCATCGTCTGTCTGAATCCAAACCAGATTATATTAGATTGTCTCTTGGTCCTAATCTCTCTGGCAAGCCCCCCCCCTTCAGTTCAGGAGCCAATCAGCACTCCAGCTCTGATGTCACGTTATTCATTTGGTCTAATCACTGTATTTCAGGTGAATCACCATGGCAACAGAGCCAGGTGAGCCACAGGAGGCCCAACCCAAAGAGGCGGAGTCTTTCCCTGAAGCTGCTGCCCACTCCACACCCAAACAGGTAAACACGAAAAAGAAACCAATCAATATAAATGATCAATAAACAGATCATGTGAAATCTGATATCATATCCTGCTTCTCAGGGTGGCGAGGGTGCGCCGACCCAGAGCCAAGCACAGAACTCATTGGCTGAGGACTCGACTAGTCACCTGTCATCGAGCAGTCGGATTGCTCGCTCTCCGGCCAGAAATCCATTGAGCTTCAGGACAATGCAGGCGAGAGTGACCCTGCTGGACGGCTCACTCTTCACCTGTACTGTAGAGGTGAGACAGGTGGGGACAGGTGAGAGTGACCAGGCTGGATGGCTCACTCTTCACCTGTACTGTGGAGGTGAGACAGGTGAGATAGGTGGATGGAGAGATGAAGAGGTGGAGAACCACAATCAGGAGCAATATCACCAAAGAAAGGGCCTGAATGATGATATGATGGTGATGATGACGATGATGGTGATAATGAAGATGATTATGTTGATGAAGATGATGATGTTGCTGGTTGTGATGAAGATGGTGGTGATGATAGTGGTGATGATGGAAGTGGTGATGATGAAGATGATGATGGTTGTGGTGATGATGAAGATGATGATGGTTGTGGTGATGAAGATAGTGATGGTGGTGGTGGTGGTGGTGATGATGAAGATGATGATGACTATGACGAAGATGATGAATTTGATGATGAATATGATGATGAAGATGATGTTTATGGAGTCAGGTAATCAAACTCTCTGGTTTTAGAAGCGAGCTCGTGGTCTGCAGCTGTTTGAGAAGGTCTGTGAACACATCAACCTGCTGGAGAGAGACTACTTTGCTTTGTCCTTCAGAGACGCCGACAACAACAAGGTCTGTGTTTACCTGTCTCTCTGTTTGTTTACCTGTCTGTCTGATCTCTGACCTTTGACCTTTGTCTTGTAGAACTGGTTGGATCCATCAAAAGAGATGAAGAAGCAGGTCAGAGGTGAGTTTGATGCTGATTGGTCAGTTGTGGACAGCAGTGTCTGGTTCAGTAGACTGAACTGATTAGAGACCTGAACTATGAAGCCGGTTTAACAGACCCAGGATAAATGTTATCTGGTTTAACTGAACCTAACATTGACCCGATAACCTGTACTACAAAGTAGGTCATCACCTGGCTCAGTTAACCCTGGCTTTACATGTAGATGTACATACAGGAGTTGATGATTATAAGCAACATAGTCTGAACCATGAATGAAGTACTTAATATGACGTGAGAAGAGATGCTGCCTACCCATAATTTCGGGTACAGCAATGTCCAAATTGACATTCAACAAGGTGACATGTAAACAATATGATCACATGACTGGAATAAAAAATATATAATTACTAATAAAGTGAGATCAAGGATAAATTGTAAATAAGTGCATGAATTATTTAGTTTCTTGAGTATTTTCGCTCTTCAGTCTGATGAACAAACTTATGAACATGAGATGAGAGATAAAAAAGTTAAAGTTAATGTCAGACTGTTTTTGCTGCAAAGAGGAGAGACAGAAAAGAGGAGCGAAAGAAAAGAGGAGAGAAGTAGTTGATGTCTGATGAGTCAGTCTGACTGAAATGTTAAAAATTTATCAGATTTATAATCATGGGAAATATTGAACAGTGTGTTGATCATTGTTCTAATCAAGACATCAGAGGTTTAGTTTTTATTTCTTTTTCTTCTTATTCTGAGCTTCGGTGGTGGAAGAAAAGTTTCATCACTGTCAGGAATCCTGTCGGATTAAAGAATATTTGTTCAATTAAAATGAAGCTATAATAGTTATGTTTACGTTGTGTAATAAACTCTCCATGCAAGCTCTGTTTTAAAACCAGAGTGGACACATGCTGGAACAGCAAAACGATTCCACTGATTTATATAAATGTCTACTGATTTTTATTACTTATTTATTTTGTTTACTTTATTGTAAACTCTTTTGTTCCCATCAAGATCCTATAGGAATGATGACTCAGTGTTTCCAGTGATCTGATTGGTCAGTACTTTGGCTGTTGACAGATTTTGATCTGATCCGGAGCAGGTTAGAAGTTCAGCCTAAGTTACCATGGTGGTTTACCCCAGTAACAAGTGAGCCAGTGTTGTAGGACTGAAAACCCATAGTTAAACCTGAAGTTATCTTGATAACCTCAAATCCTGCTTGGTAGTACAGGCCTCAGGTTAGCTTAGGTTAGCTGTCTGTGTGAAATTATTCTCTCTGCTCTTTGTCTCTCAGGTGTTCCCTGGAACTTTTCCTTTAATGTAAAGTTTTATACTCCTGACCCTGCCCAGCTGTCTGAGGACATCACCAGGTTAGTTCACTCACCTGTCAATGAAAATACTGTGTCATGTTTTCACTTGGTGTACACTTGAAGAAGCTGATGTCTTCCTTTCTGTCTACAGGTACTTCCTGTGTCTGCAGCTTAGACAGGATATAGTTTCTGGTCGTCTTCCTTGTTCATTTGCGACTCATACCGTCCTTGGCTCCTACACCGTCCAATCAGAGCTTGGAGACTATGACCCTGGTACGGACAATCCCCTACCCTGCCAATACCCTTCTGACATACCTAACGGTACCCTGCCATATCATTGTTGGACACACCCTTCTTCACCCGTACCTTTCTGACATATCCTACTGTACCCTGCTGTATCATTTTTGGACATCCCCTACTACACCCTGCTGTGCCCCTCTTTCATACCTTATTTTACCCCCTCTGACATAACCTACTGTACCCTGCTGTACCCTTCTGA